TGATCAATAGATTACCGACATCGGTATTGGAAAATTAAGTTTTACCTACATAGATGATTCAAAGGTGGGTTAATACGTTCTATTTGGATTGCTATTGAGTTACCTTGAGCATTTACATATAATTTACCTGTAACCTATCTTACAACTAGCGTTCAAGCGAAGTTCGAACTGTTACTGCTACACCAATCCTTCGTCGTTCTCAATCGAATCAGGTACTACTACAAAGTGGTAAAAGAATATCTATCTATTATAATGAAATTAAATAAATGCAAATAAACTGACTTTATTCGCAATTCTTTCAGTCTCGTAATGATAGTCAAGTTTCAACGCCAGATCGTAATGACGATGATCACTATCTATCACATCCAGCCTTACATTTTCATGGCAAAAGTTCTCCTGGTAGTAAGCCTCCGTTACCGAAGGGACCAAAGTAAGTTTGAATATATAGAGTGTAAAATAGAGTTGCTAGTAAAATGGTGTTCTTTTGAGTATCTAGAATGTATATTATTTTGGCTAAAAGCAGCTTATAATCCCAAAAATTCAGTTACTAAAGAATAGTCTACCGTAGTTTAGAGTCTATTCTTCAAATATCTAAGATATATGAAACGTCGCTGACGTGAAGTTTTCATGAATTTCGCCTGGTATCCACAACTCCTTAGCTACTTATAATCATTTGTATTATTTATACCTTTTAAATTTTGATTATCGTAAAATATAATGTCAGCCTAAAGAATCTTGTTTTCGACCTAATTCTGTCATGGATTTGTACATGTTGTTAGGGAAGATCAGATATGATTCGAAACAGATTTTCTGATCGCGTGGAATTTTGACTAAGATAAAATCAATATGAATTTTCATTTTTATATTATAGAAGTCGAAACTCTAAATCATCGCCGAACTTATCACATCAACAAGCACAAGTGCAACAGGTAAGTCAACATGCAGAAGCTCGTTCATCTATATTTTCATTTTGCAGTTATTAATTAGAATTAATTAAAGATATCAAAAGTTAATTTTGCAATCAATCATACTATTTCAGCGACCACGGAATGTATCGCAACATCAGCCTGATGAAAATATTTCGCGAGTAGGCAATTTAGCTGATGAAGAGTACCATGAGGTAAGATACTCACGAGATCGTTTCTAGCAAGTTGGTTTTATAGATTAATGTTGCATTTACAGGTGAGGGTATAGCAATTGATATTTGCTACTTAATTTACAGAAACAATCACCTAGAATAGTAGCACATAGCCCTGAGTTAGTGCAAGTACCAGATACTCCAAGCCATGATTATCCGATCTTAGCAACGGGATCTGTGTCAAGAACGTAAGTCTATAACTACTTTTGTTAATTAATTAATGGATCTTTTAAATATTCGTGTGTTTCATTTATGCTGATTTTCTACACATGGCTTAAAGATTAAATACTATCTTGTATTAGACATCAAGTAACTCTATCAAGAGCCGCTTATGCTCGATTATATGCGGCTGGATTTCCCGACATTAAAGATCGCTTAGATCAGCCACCTACCCCAGTTGGAGTGAATGATCAAATTCAATTCGATTCAGCCCTGGAAGAACATGATCAATTAAAGTGTAACGAAATTGTTTTTCAATTTCTTGCCCTTACAAAGTATGCATGATTATTTTACCTATTACTAAATCTTTGTATCCCTTTATCTTATTTTGTATAACTTAAGATTTTACCGCGACCTCGTAGCCTCAGTTATTTTAAAAATAAGAATAACCATTCAAGTTTCAGTTTAATATCTGTCACCCTTAGATTTTCATTTAAATGTGATATTGAAACATTGTTTCATCTTTTGGTTGTAGTATAGAGAATATATCAATGTTATACGTAAATTATCTATAATCTAGCTTTTATTACGAGCCCGTATCATAATACGCGTACAACCGTAAATATCAAGTGAATTTCAAGTTACGAAAGGCTGATTGTAGTAACGTAGTAAATAGTTCACCCAGTCTACTAGAGCAAGGTATACATATCGTAAGAACAGATCAAGTGGAGCTGGTAATTACTGGTTCATTAGAGTCCGCTACAGTATATGATAATCTACAAGCATCTATCGCTTAAATACGTCCCTGGACTATGCATACACTAACCTAAATCTTGTCAATCTATATTATGAGGCCCATGCTAGTTGCTATAATCTACTATAAGCAAATAGAAATGCTTCCCTTTACTTTCAAGCATGGTTATACGTTTATATCATACTTCCAAGTTTTAAAATTATTCAATCTAACCACGTCAACATATGTAGCTAGTTTATGCTAGCCTTCGGTATATAGTAATAGTTGCGCAGTACGCATATATCTATCAATTACAGACTGAATAATTTTAAACATTATCTAATCATACCCGTAAAATTTCTTACTCGACGATATTTTTACTATTGCTAGGTCGACACACAGCCATACGTTCTTCTCGTTTCAATTTTATCGATTTCCTGAAATTATCTCTGAAAGGTAAGCGATTTGAATTTTGTAGTTACTTATATCATCTTTTCTAATCTTTCGTGGAGAAGTCATATAACGAAATTTTTTTTGTAATCATTACATTAATATCCTTATGATTAAAATATTGCTTGGATTGTATTACTTCATGAACGACTGATATCTGATTTTTAAATAAATTATTTATGAGATTTGTTAGCAAGTATTGCTGATTATGCATTTTATTGCCATCTTTCAAGGCTGAAAGTAGTAGAAGAAAGTAGAGGTAGTAGCATAACAGATCCATTGTCTGTCCCTTGCATATTTCGAAGGCTAAATAAAGATGGAAGTATTGCTGATGAACCACCTGGCTACCAGGTAAACAGTACATAAAGCAAGCAAACAAAAATTTAAGCATTAGATCAAGATTATTATTTGTCTTTTATTCTCGTAATAAAAGTGCATTATTGTTTAATAAATATATAGCTATCATTCAATATCGATCCAGCCTTTATGCAACCCGATGAATATCTCACATTTACGCAATATCTACGAGCTCATACACTTCATATCGATATATGGGATGCTGATTCATTGCTATTAATTGGTTCAACGTCATTAAGTCTGAAGGTGCGAGATGATAGTACGGGCACTAAATAAAAATAGCACCTTTTCAATCGTAATGATTCCTTTTTATTATCATAGAATCTAGTTCGGCAGGGTCGAGAAGCTGTTCAAATGGCCGTTGAACTAGATATTATTTCCACTGAGTATGATCGCGATGCTCCTATTTTAACAGGAGACTTAGTAAGTCTATTTGTACTACTGTCAAATTGACGTTTAAAAATTATCTACTATATTAAAGCAAAATTGTTGTTGGCTGTAATCATTAATTATTACTGTATAGTAAATCCATAACTACAAAACTCAAAATCGAGACAGTTAATGACGGTAGAATAAAGATAACAGTTATCGGTATTACTATTTCAGTATTTATTTCTTCAAGGAATACCAGGATAATCCTGGCTAAAATGAAAACTATTATGATAGTAATTCAATGAAATTAGCAATATAACGAGATTTCTTATGCTGCCGTTAAATATTAACAGAGTAGGACAGGAAGTATTAGACCTGTTGGGACAAAGTTAAGATTACGTGGCAAATTACATATGAAAGTAGCTAATATAGGCAATGTTAGTGACGTTAACAAAGCTAAAAGAGGTAAATAATTATAATGATTACGTATGGCTGATATATTAAATAAATATTTAAAGTGCTATTCCCGCGTTATCATAAAATCGTAAGACGTTACAGAAATCTTTAGCAGCCCATTTCTTTGCTCTATACAAATTCTCTGAAGGAAAAATTTTGCTATTCAAATACATTTGTAAGCATTTCTCTATTTAAAACGATAATTATCTAGGCATGGAACCCATTCCTAAAGCTAAAATTATTCCATCGGTGACTGCTAAAGGCGGAGAGATTAGAAATGAGACGGCTGGTAAGCAAATGTATTCCATTTAAACGAAAGCGTATCTTCAGAGTTATCTAGTTCGGTTTCTAAAGTTGCTTAAACTCGTATATGTTGATCTAGGATCTAAGCAACGTTTAATTAAAACTGCAAAGCTGCTGTCGGAAAGTAGTACTGAACTTGCGTCTGCTCTGCTAACGCGGAAAGCCAAAACTCTTCATGATCCAACTGAAGCCGGTAAAGAAAATGATGCAGCACGATTAAGGTACCAACGTTTATTTTTTTCGCAGAAAAAAAAAATTAGTAAAATATTGCTCCAACGATATCTTAATAGTAATTGTTGTCATAGAATTAGTCAAAACTAGTTAAATACAGCATTGAATGTAAGCTTGTTTATAGGCGCCTCTTTATATTATACTTATATAATGAAGAGAGAGACCTAGCCAAATATATACAGATACTATATTTGAAGTAATAGAAATATGTATTGCACCCTTGCACTAACATTTTAAACATTGAGATATAAATGCATCATTTTGATACCTCTCGATATCTTTGGCAACAACCTCAATTTCTGAATAAAAATTTGAGTAGTGCAATGTATTATACATATCTCAATACATTTGCGATATTGGACCTTTTCGTTAAAATGTGTACGTGTACGACAGTACGAGTATAAATATCTTTTTCAAATCTGTATACTTTATTTTTCATTAGAAAAATGGCTAGAATGGAAGCAGTTCGAAGAAATATGGCAAGCATGGGTGAAAGTACAAATATTCGTCTGGTATGTTAACAAACTAGATTCTGTAACTCATTAATGTTATCTTGGACATTTTTTATTGTCTCACCTGACTAATATCAAAATTGAATTGATTACTGTCACGACTAGGTGCAAAATGAAGAGAAAGTTAATCGATTACGTGATATGAGAACTGTTGAAAAATTTAGGTTCACTAGAAACTTCTACTTTAAATTTATATTCTAAAGTGGCTGATATAAATAAATTGTACCATATTTATGATTAACAATCGCAAATTAATACTCTTTTACTATTCTATCTTGGAAATTTGAATAGGGAAATGTCTAAACATGAAGGCATCACCAATATATTATATGATGCTATCACATCTCGCCATGTTATTCATCCATCCTTTGGTAGCGCAGAGTTCTTCGAATTTTCATTTAAAAATCCATACAATCAAGAACAAAATATTATTATTAAATGTGATGATCCCGATTTAAGGTACGTAGATAGGGAGTTTTATTAATTATAGAACGTACTAATACTCAGTCTATGAGTTGTTCGCGCAATTTGTACTGTTGCTGAACTTCGTACTATGTTTATGTGTTTGATGGAGCTAAAATTGTTATTTTGATCGCTATGACTAAATAATCTCTGTAGGATTTTAACTAGTTCGAGAGAATGGCGACATTATAAGAAGCTCCATGAAGTTCATACACCATTAGAAGAAAACATGTTCAATCAAGATAGTCAAGGGCAACATCCAGAAATATTTATGAAGCCATCAGAAGTGGTCAATATTCCTTTTAAGTTTCAAAGTTTTCGGGCTGACCATTTAGCACGTGATCAGGTTAAGCTTAGTATAGTTGGTCCGAGTAATTTCCGGAGGAAATTTTAGCAATTAAAACTACAAATTTTAACTTATTACGATAATAGAGCTAAATTTATTATGGATTATGTATTTAATTTTATCATTAACTGAATTTAATCTATGTGTAGGAAAGTGTAGCATCGATCAAACCACCATCACAGTCGGTAGTAGAATTTAAACAGCAATTAGGCAAAATTACGTGCATACAACCACGTACAATTAAGGTATTAAAATAAAATTATTTTCTCGATTAACTATGAATTAGCTAAGAAACGCTTTAATTGACTTATTTGAATAAATTGTCTACAATAAAACTAATCTTTGGACATCTAGGTCAGTTTTGTTACGAAATCGAACGAGAATCCGGTAGCTATCTTAGCCTTACATGTGGAACCTCAGCCGCACATTATTGATCAAACATTTCGATTTTATCATCCTGAAAATTCTTTCTTTAAACGTTCTATTCGTTTACCACCATGGCGTTCTAATACAGGTTAAAAAAAATTTAAGAAATCTGCTTAAAATAATTAATAAAGCATAGCAAATCTACGATCAACCAAACTGAAATAGCCTAGCAAAGAAATAGATAACTTATGAAATATTTCTCTGCCTGAATGTTATTTTTAATGATACCTTGTTCCAATGGCTATCAGGTGGTTCTTTTATGACTGATGTCGATGATCAAAAGCAATTATATGTCAAGTGCAGCGATCCAAATGTTGTTTGTGACAGTAAACCTACAGTAAGTCTTTTTTTTTTATTTTTTTGATGTTCGGTATCTCTTTGCCATATATGTAATTTTACTGACTCATTCCATTTTTCTCATGATGTACCATGTTACTGATTATCAACTTGAAATATCTTGGGTATGTCGTGATTATATGTAGTTTCCCGGAGAGCCACAAGACATTTTTCTGAAAGTAGCATGCAGTCAGTCACCAAGTGTTAAGCGATTCTATCTGCTTTTATTCTCGTAAGTCACTAAACTTTTATAATGGCTAACAGAATGATACTGTGGTAAAATTTTGCTAACCCATTATCACTGAGAAATTGGATAAATTGCAATAGTTCTAATCACATACTATATACACCAATAATAGATCTAAATACCCTTGACAATCTTTGAATTGAGTTTCATTAATTTAGTATTGATACGTCTGCAATTGTATTAGTCTAATAACGTGGTGCATACTAAGTGATATACGTGAATAAAACTATATACAAGCACGTACTTTCTGAAGATGATACGAATATACGATTGTGGTAAACAATATTTATAATATTCGTAAACCTGATCAATTGTTATAACCTACATTGAGTAGCGTACATGGTATAGACAAACATTATATATTAATTGTTCATGCTATGATTATAGCAATGCTAAGCTCATTGATTTAGTCCAGTAACCTAGTTCTACGTTTGGTAATATAAACGAAGTAAATGCGTACAAATTACAGCATGCATTTTATGATCTTATTAATAATTACTATTTCATTTCATATATGATATTAATATTCAGATTATTTGAAGTTTATAATAGTATTACTTCGAAAATCGATTTATTTGCAATAAGAAATTTGATTCTTAAATAATAGGGATAATTATTTATCGAGACCGATACAGACATGGCAATTCTTCATCCACGCGCAGCAAAGGTAGCAAGAATAGAAATTATAAAATTTAATAACACATGAATAATGAGGATGGTGTTTATTCTTGAAACTATCGAAATCATTATTAAGTTAAGCAGTTGCAGCTAATATCATTAATGGTAATTTTGTCTTTTTTATCCATCTTCATTTAGGGTCGATATTTGTGCAACAGAAGGGCAGACATTAAAGCAGTCGTTGATATTACGAGGGACTCCGGTGTCAAGATTAATTCAATGTTATTCTTCTCATCCGGCAGAATTAATGGTAAGGTTTATCGATAATGATAAAATTAATTTGATTTAAAGATATAATTGTTAACCATAGAAACCTATATCATTTGTATTCCATACCATACTATATAGTATATTCTAATAGGAGAAAACCATTCACTGAAACCAATCAGTTATGACCTACTTTATCTATATGTCTTCGTTTTAGATCGCTCCAACGAATGAATTTATGTTGATGGCCAATTCAGTCCACGAATTAATAGTAACAGTAATACCGAAATCATCAGGTCAAAGAATTATGTATATTAACGTCGTTGGTAAGTTTCACTACTATAATTTAATGTTGATTAGTTTATAACGGAGACAGACAGGCATCTTGACCTACCAAATAGTACTAATTAGGAAATTAGTTTGGCTGAGGTTGTGTTAAACGTTATTGCAATTTTAACACTATAACAGATACGGAGTATCATCAACTTGTCCACTCTTGGCTGGTTTGCGTAGCCGTTAAATTACCAATAATTTCTAAAGCGTTTGAGATTAATATCGTTGCTGGTAAAAGCTCCAATAAGGTTGGTCCCATTCGAATTGCATTTGAATATAAATTATTTCTAGCCCGTTAAATATAGATGAGCTACATAATTATGAAGGAGGATGTAGCCGAAAGACACCGACACTATTGACTTATTGTAATTGCCTTGGACATGTTTATTACTTATAGAGAATATCTTTTACAAATCCTTATCCGATGCGAAAGAGATTTCGTTTAAAATGCAATCGTGAAGATTTGTTACAATTTCGCGAAGGCCTCATTGAGGTTGGTCGTAATAGTAATCACTTCTTAATTATAATACCATAAGGAATTAGTACAGAGTTACCAAATTCGATGATATCGGCTAAATGTATTGCTTAAATTAGATTAAAAAACAAGTTTATCTAATTTTACCAGGTTGAAGGTGGCGGATCACACATGATTGGGTTAAAATTCTTGCCTAGCGATGATCGAAATATTGTGGAAATCTTTATTTTTATTAACGATGAAGATGATAAGAATGAAGAAACATTTTGCGTTAAAGTTAAATATATGTAAATTTTTCGACTAGATTGGCAAAATGAGAAGTATACCATAGAAGATGACAACTTGGCATTAAAGCAACCGTTATTCCATTGATAAATTGCAATTTATAATATACAATGATAAGTTATTATTTTTAGATGAGCCATTTTTATCATGTAGATACCAATGGTGATACGAGTATATGAATATAACAGTACGAATTAGTGTTGTGTACAATGTACATATATGTGCGCAACTCTATTTCTTTGAACGTTTGAAAATTTCTACTGCATTTAGCTCCATATTGTACAGTATTGGAAGTACCTTTAGGTGGAAACATATCCTATGACAGCGCATTTGGTAAAGCCATTTTTATATTATATCGGTAGTAAGGTATATTGTATTATAGCCGTATAATTTCTGTCTTTTTTTCTTCTTTCTATTATAATGATTATATTGTGATATTAATCGAGCAGAGGAATTTGCGAGGGCTCCGACACCATTGTATTTATACCGGAACCTATGTACAATTAAAAATAACAACACTTCAACGATGCCACAACCAGTGGTCCATTTAATGCTATTATTGATTAGTGAATTGATTCATTATGACCAAATGAGTTAATTTAATGCACGTATTTAAATGAGGGTATTTACGAGATATCTTCGTATAGTAAAATAACGGAAATGAAATACGTTACAGTGTAGATAAACCACAACGGTACAGTAGTACTATAGATATGTGATCACTTGAATTTGATTCTATCCTAGACTTTGCAACTTCGTATGCTTTCTCGTCGAGTCTTTATCTACTGGATCAAACAATCTATATGGAAGTAAAGTTGCATAAGCATCGAATAACACATAATAGTTTAGGATTTATCTATCGAAATCCAATTGTGCAAAAATATTGTGTGATTTCCTCTATTTAATGTAGCATACCCGCTAGGTCGGGTAGTAGATCGTTTTGCATATTGTTATAAGGTTATGTCTAGTTACGTCTATTTTAAGATTAATTATCCTATGACGTAGTCGAGCTGAGATTTTTTACGCTACACTACTGTCAGTAGTTTATTTTTAACCGATACCTTCCTAGAAAGTGACTAGGAACTGACCGGTACTTAACCCCAATTATTGCTCATTAAATACTACATTACTGTCGATTAGTGAAAGTATGGACTACAATGTGCGTTGACATCTTACCGTGGATGCTTTTCCATTAGTGCCCTACCGGGCGTACCAGGGAGTAGAGAGAGAGAGTATTTAGCATATGGTCAATACATCCTTTTACTAAGTTCCTAAGTCAATATGTCCATTGTACAGTATAGTATATAGTACAGTGTTTGCTGATCTGACTCTAATGGTAGTGCTTTGCAAAATATTGTCGTCTAAATCTCTCCTCCGCACTTTCCTATTTGCCTAAGCTATTTGTGGTAACTTTAGTAAGGCATGTACTGCTTGTACAGAAGGAAACCATGAGTCACTACAGTATAGTGTTGCAATGTGGCCTTAAATTACAATATTTTCAAAATCTATTATCACACAGGGACATCAGAGGGATCAACATGGATATACTGTACTGTCTATTCACTAGCGTAGAATGTGTCGGCAGAGCAGTTTCAGCGAAGTGTACGGAAAATCAATTCTCAAGTGGCTGAGTGTATTGTGCATTACCATAGACTACTATACAGTACTACCTACGGCAATTAGTGTGGACAAACGAATAGTGTGGGTTCCTAATTAGTGCTACCCACATTAAATATGGTATTCCCAAAAATGCGATGACGACTCCCACTAAATATAAAGGTCTAGTATGACATGAAATGAAAGTGTGTAAGCTGGACAATTCGCGACTTTGTGCATGCTGAATCAGTCCACTGTGCAGTGTACTCTACGGTACTTATTTTATCTTTAACTATAGAGAAAAAGAAAACATACGGTTTCAACTCATGTACAACTAGCGTCCTTTCTACCAACATGCAAAGAATTGTCCCAGCACATGACAAGAATTTCGATATATTCGTTGCCATCTTCAAATCGAAAGAAAGATTTAATTAGATTAATTAATTCAGCATACCATACAGTACAATACAGTACTATACTGTACAGTACACGTGTTCACTGTTCAGTCTACAGTGTACAGTACCAAAAAGAATGAAATACTGTACTGTACAGTGTACAGTACTGTAGAATGGTAGAGTGTACAGTACAGTACAGTAGAATGGCTAATGCGACTAACCAAATTTATACTGTACCTTACAGTACGGCGTACTGTAGCACCGTGGTACTGTACTGGACTATGTACCGTGTACAGTGTACAGTTTATAGTATATTGTACTGTATAGAAGCCCGGGATTCTTCAGAATTCCTTCCTTCTGGCAGTCCATTCCAGGACGTGCTCGACTCCACGACTGCAGAAAATTCAATCTATCGCCACCTGCACCTCCTACAGGCTCCTCTTCATCTTGCTCAGTCAACTTCAGCCATAACCAAGTTGGGTTAGGACTAGAATGTATCCATGCTATCATTAGATTACAAGATTTATTGGATGTGCATGTCTCGTTCAAGGGTGTTGTTCATAATTCATCATTTCCATTATTATTCATTTTTGACAGTGCAATTAAAATGAGCCAAAAGACAGAAAGTACACAATTGCCTGCTCCATTTTGTGATGGATGGTTTCGAGAATTTAGCTCTTTGTGGCCTGGTCAAGCTTTTACCTTACAAGTAGATGAAATTTTATATCAAGGTCGATCGAAATATCAAGATATTGCCGTTTTTAAAAGGTACAACCAATCGTATTGATGCGGTACATAATAATTTGCTTGCTCTCCATATTCTCCATACAAAGCATACCATCAATCAATCGCAATGGCAAATTGTATTACCCTAACCTAATTATTCTCTCCATCCATCAAATAAAACATAATAGCAAAACTTATGGAAATGTACTAGTCTTGGACGGTGTTATACAACTGACTGAGCGCGACGAATTTTCCTATCAAGAAATGATCTCATTTTTGCCATTAAATTCCCATCCAAATCCTAGCAATGTATGTAGATCGATTGACCTTGTCATTTCTGTTCCATTTCTTGTATGCTACCGTATGCGTACAATCGTTGATTTATGGGATAGGACATTATGTGTACTCGCTAGGAGTGGATAACTTTGATCTAATAAATACAGTACCTATCCAGCTAAAGTAGATATACTGCTTCAAATTGCTTCAATAAAATGGCTGTCTAATCAAATAGTTCTTTACTGCTGTTACAAGGTTTTAATCATAGGCGGCGGTGATGGTGGAGTTCTTAGAGAGGTAGTGAAACATCCAGCCGTCAAGAAGGTGACCCAGTGTGAAATCGATGAGGTAGTAATTAATTTGGGCCATCCATTCACTTTCATTGCCCATTTTATTAAAGATTACTAAAACTTCTAGAAAACCAGTTGATAACCCGACACAGTAGTTATCCATGTCTTTCAAATCTAATTGAATACTTATTAATAATTGGCTAACCAATGTTATCATAATTTGCAAAGGATGTTATCAACGTTAGCAAGAAATATCTTCCAAGCACTAGCGTGGGCTTTCAAAGTGAGAAAGTAACCGTTCATATTGGCGATGGACTTGCATTTATGAAGAACCATAAATCCGAATTTGATGTTATCATTACTGATTCATCTGATCCCATTGGTAAGTGGATTGCGAAATTGCCATAAAATCACTTTCGCATATTCGTATTCTGCATGCCGTAAAAAATTTGCTCACTGAGTTTAGTCAGTTACAGTAATATTGATAATATATCTTGTGCTATTAATATCCAAGGACCCGCTTCATCATTATTTGAAAAGGAGTATTATGAATTGATGAAAACAGCTTTAGCTCCTGGTGGGATCGTCTGTGCTCAGGGTCTGCTTTTCTAATTTAAAGTTATTCTTTTGCTAAATAGCTGTATGCTCTGTTAGTATTATGATTAAAATTATTGTCTATTTGTTGCTTTACAGGTGAATGCCAATGGCTACACTTATCGTTAATTAAGACCATGCAAAATTTTTGTAAGACTGTCTATCCTGTTGTTGATTATGCTTACACCACAATTCCAACGTATCCATCTGGACAAATTGGCTTGCTGTTATGTAGCCTCGACGAGGTATCTTGATTTTAAATCAATTATAGAAAAAATATTCAATTATAATTATCTATGCATATCTACTAAGTATCTTATTCGTACTGAGTACGTGTATGGATAAATTTTTAATCATGCAACACGTTATATGGTAGTAGTCTCGCTATATCAGTACTATAGTAACCTTTACTTTTTGTGTACATCTACATGTAGAAAACTAATTTTCGAGAGCCACTATACAAGTTTTCTCCTGCTGAAGTAAAGAAATTTAATTTGCGTTATTACAACGTGGACGTTCATCGTGCTTCTTTTGTCTTACCAGAATTTGCAAGAAAGGTTAGCTTGTCGATATTACAATTAAGGATTTATCTTTTCCTTAAGGTTAATATACTATTATCATCCATGATAGGGAATCATTAAATTATGTTTATTCCTTTGTCATTTCTTTTTTAGGCATTATACGAGTAAAAAAAATCGTTAATTTATATTTGATCTACTTTGGTCAAGAGAGAAGCTGTAGTTTTGTATAATGTGCTATCTATCCTTCATGAATATTTTCTATATTTGATGCGAAAGGACGTTGTATCAAATCTATGCATCTTTCAAATTGAAATAGATAGCAAGTAGTAAACCATCAAGCGGATTTACATACCATACAGTATGCTATCCGTGGATATAGGGTTTTTTATAACTATTTTCTCGTCAATAGTCATGCATCGCATTTCAACAGTTATTATAGTTTATGCAGTATCCACAAGAGTACACATTGGCTGCAAATTAAAGATATCAACTCATTTTCTCCGTAAACATCTCACTTGCAACATAATAAGTAATGACTGAGGATCTAATATACATTATTTGGGCTACTACAGATATTAAAGTAATATACTGTATAGTTTTGTAAAGCGTATTATAAATACAGCGTTTCCCTGAAGAGAATTCTTCGCAATTCTGTAATAGTATTACTTCATGCTTTTCCTGTTAGCCTCTGTTGAATTATAGAGACAACTGAAGAACCAAAATTTTCATCCTAAAAGTAAAATGCTTAAATCTTCAGCAGGATTCGACATTTTTGCTTGTAAAATAAACAAAACTTTACCTTGTAATCCCACGAAATTGCAATGACTGCCTCACTATCATCATTTACTTGATACTAAAATAGGTTAGGAAATAGTAGAAGATGCGAGATATTAGCATTGCCATTTTACTGTTATTGTTATTCAGTACCTATTCCTGTACTGTAAATTTTTACCTCAATAACAACAGAATGCAATTTAATAGAGCCATCTGATGACTGGGATACTTCTTCTTTAGGGAAATCACTAAAATATTGCCATAGTAGATTAATCGATTCATTCGATATAATGAATTATCTCGTAAATGAACAAGTGAGTTGGTGAAAAGTAAAGTTACCTCTTAACATGTAAGTACAGTTCACGTAGTAGTTCATTGCGAACTACTTTATCCGGTACGCTTATAGTACTGCAAAAATTTAAATTATGGCTTTTCATTCCAAGTTCGTGGAGAGCTTGCTTAGAGTCGACCAATCTTGTTGACTGCCAAAATTGAATTTATTTCCAAGTTAAACAAATGTCATACAAATAGTGCGAATTCAACGTAAACACACATGTTAAACGAACGAGAAACTAAAAAATTACGTTGTCATCCATGATAATAACTCCTTCAATTATGCGAGGATCTACATCTAATCGAGGCTTCTTATTTTCATGGATATGAGACTTCAAAGAAATCTGTGGCTGGTTTTGCTTATATAGCTCGAACGACATATCTACAGCTATTTTGGGCGAAGCCCTGATTTTCACAGTTTCGCCATTTTTTGGCATATAGCACGGGGTACCTTTGATTTAGAATGATACTTCTTTATATAACCAATGCTATAGTTCAACACCAAGAAATTTACTGCATTGACGACCTAATGACTTACCAATTTCTTGTTCTATTTTTTGCATTAAAAAATTCATTTTGCTCGCCTCTCCGTGAACAAGCATCACATTTTCAGGTTCGGCCTAAATATTGACGAGAATACACATAATTCAGTTCTTTAGACTGTATCAACTGCAGCATATCGCTTACTTTTTATAATTAATACTTAGTTGTTTCAAGTCATTTACAATGGAAAAAGATGACGGTTTAATATATCTGCTTACATGTTTAATTAATTGCATGATTCCTTTAGCATCAGCGTGAGCACTGCAAAGTGATTTAATCCGAAATTTTAGATTAGTTCAACAATTATTAGTTTATTGCAAACAAATGTTATCTACCTAAATGACATATACTCCACGGCTAATTTCACATCAATCTATAGATTACAATGCACAAAATAATATAGTTAATTCCGTATTCACAGACCGTATTCATAGGACCAGTGAAGTATCATTTTCTCAATAATACTCACTATTTGTTTATTCTCTAATTCTACGGTTCTTTGACCAGATAAAATTTTATTTCCTACTGTACCAGCAACGCAGTAGCCTGGTAAAATGACCTAATCGTGCAAAATTTTATAGGATTTACAAGGTTAAGACTGCTATTTATCTGATAATTAATAATTGATACAATATACAGTATAGACGTAATTTAACAAGAGAAGAGCGACAATACCATATTTTTATCATCTGGTGCCCATTTTTTAAATATTTGAAGTGAGAGACCGCCATGAAGCATGCCTGGCGTAGCAAATACAACCTGTAAAAAATCTTAAGGATTAAAATTATCAAGTATTTCTGAGAGTATCAACAGTCTAAACGGCCTACCATAGGATTAGGATTATCAATCAGGGCGCGATCGAAAGGCTAACAACAAGACGCAAAAATAGTATGTAAGACAATTATTTGATAAACTTTTCGATGGATAATCAACAATACCTTTATATGCTTAAATTCGAACATATTATGTTGTACGAATGTTCGTCGAATTTTCTGATTTGTCCAAGTAATGAATAATTTATAATAATGATTTGCCTATAACACATCAGAATTCAGGTTACATAATTTTCTGCTTTCCATTTGATAATTTAATAAATAAATATACACCTTCTCTGTTAAACCAGTCGAGAAATAGATAGGGACTTTTAAGTTCATTCTATCCCTAAGATATTAAAGTAACTTACGAATAAGTATCCTGACTATAAAATAAGTGCTGTCATTATATATAAAATTAAATTATTACCAATAAGTTTCCAATAAAATGCATAACTCCTGTGCCCTTCCAAGGGCAAAAACGGGAATCAGAACCTAAGTTAAGTGAATATAACAGTTTAATGGTTGTTGGAAAATATACGTAATTGCATAACAAATAGCACCTAATTTGAAGTTCTCACCTTGCCGCCTCGTTCAACACATTCATGGACTTTTGTTAGAAAATCTCTTTCACGACATCTAATATCGAGGTAAAAGTAATTAATATCAACTATGATCAATTCAAGTCATTCTGTAGTGATTGATTACGTAAATATTATACTTTACTATTAAACAAACCTCTTAGAATCGCGAATTGTGGTAGCGTATGTTGATTCCGTTATTAATAAATTTGGCCTACATTTGTCTATCCATGCGGCTCTATAACACAATACAATAAATTTCAAAGCGGAAGTATTTTAGCTAAAAATTTCCTAATGCAGAAAAGGAATAGACCTACCCTAAGTGGCGATCTGGGGTCATATTGTAATCACCCTAAGAAAGTTCAAGAAATTTCTAGTTATTCTACGTCCATTTGCACGAAATTAGATTTATTGCTTTTACAGCAATTTAATGCAAAATTTGTGAACCGCTAACCGTATACAGAACAGATTCACATCCGACCTTAACCAGGAACATAGCAGCTCCCAAAACATGCCCAGCATAATAAGCCTTAATTTCTAAATCGTCGTCAACCTGTGGTTATTAGAAAAATTTACCTTAACGATGATGTTGCTAAGATTACTGGTATATCGCATATTCACTAATATTACTCTATTAAGTTAATGAATACACCAAGGTCAGTGAGAACAATCATGGCAACTTACATTGGTAAATAAAAATACTTAGATAGTAATAATGCAATAATTACCTTTACAGTCTGATGTAAGTTAATTGCTTTAACTTTCTTCATGCAGTCCTTAATCATCTGTGTGGAAAATATTTCCATATCGAGTTTGCACAAAGCTATGAATAGACAATAAATGCGACACCTGCTAACAACATACTTGCGAAGTAAAGAAATTTTTTTCTCCTTTCCTATCAACAGTAATTTTTCGGTAGTCTTCCTGTATTAATTGAAGTGCGATTTAATTGTCATCATATGAATTAACAATCCGTTTTACTAGTAATAATTTTCTTTGAATCTACAATGCTATGTTACAATGGTACTATTTTAAGTTTAATTCCAATCTTAACTTACCAGTAGAATTGGACATATTGCTTTAGTAGGGTGTGTCATGTATATTGGACCATCATATTTACACATTTCAGAGAAATACGGTAGAGCTCCGCAATGATCTAAGTGAAAATGGCTAAATTTAAAATATGCAGAAAGAGTTAGTAAAGTCAATCCTATAGCATACTAAAATTTCATTTCATGCTGTAGTGTTATCTTTCTAAAATTGATCATAAATTGTATTACATCCAAGTCCGATACCATAGCTAGACAAACTGAATAAGTTCTAGTTTCCAACATAGTTTAAGGTATCCAAGAATAAGTTATATACTGTACATGTTACAATTACTTTACATCAATAGATATGAATGTAGACAGACCTGATTATAACACAATCTAGAAATTGAGTTAAACTTCCTGAACGTGTGATATACGTAAAATCCGGGAAACGTCTCTACTCAAGGTACAATAAATACGATGAGTTTACATCGAACAATATTTTACTCTCTATTTGGTTATTATCAAACAACGAGTAAGCCCGATAAGTTAGGTCGCCTTTCGATCATGTATAATAATAATATAAAGATAGTATACAGAGTGATGCATAATTATAATTATTGTACAATTCCCTAAGCCATGCCTGTTTTCAAACTTACATCGTCATTGTATCCCATGTGCATCCCACAGTCGAACATGATATTCTTGCATCCAATCGTGACAAGAATACAACTGCGTCCGACGTCTTTAGAACATAAGAAATAGTAATTGATATTTATGAATGATATGTGATAAAGAATAACCAACGGTATCCTACTACAGAAATACCTAGAATATACCTAGCTATTTGTATACTCTATTTGTATACACATACGTTTACTTTAAACAAGAAAAATCTCAACGATATGTACATTATACAGTACTTGTACCACAACTGCTTAAATCATAGGGCTAACATCAATTGTTAGCAACAGAAATATAGCAATTCCATCTCAATACTACTTCTATACTGCAAATTCTAATAGTATCAATAACGTAGAGACTATACTGCTGATATATACATATAGAAGATTTCAAGGAACTTACTAATGACCATAGTACTATCATAGTACTACATACAGTACAAAAAATTTTTTTGAAACTCGGCTGGGAACTAGTGTAGAGTATTGTTGCATGGACTACTAGATCTACCTGTAATTTACAAGTATTTACTTCAATCAAGCTTTGGTTGTAAAGGTGCAACAATTATAATCAGTAGAGTAAGACAGTGTGGAACAAAATAAATATTTTATACGTGCTGTAACAAAATTTTATCGATTCTTAAACATAATAATGATCTACTTGGTGTACTCATTTCTATTATCAGGGTAAATATGAGTTAAAGGTACTATTTGCACACTCTGCAGATTTCTGATACACGTTACAACTCTTGATACAAAATGAAAATACTCGTGTTATTCTCTGTCAGTAAAGAGAAATTATTAAGTCCACTAGACGTATCATTTAAGGTATGATTAAGATTTTGCAGCTTTTAGTTCTTGACCATTTTGTTGGTAGTTCAAGTAATCAATGATCAAAGTGAAGTAAAATTTGACAAACCTTGTCCAGCGCCTAAAATGTAAAAAATAGATGCAAATGCGTATTTTAATAAGTCCCATCCATCATATCCAATTTGAGCCAATACTGCAAAATAATATCTAGCATAACATCGCACAAGTCTACTTATCCTCTACCTAACGGAACCACTTTTATTTCAGGCATGTTCGATTAGCTTTTAAAGATGGATTCAACAAATATTCTCGAGTTGTCCGTGATAGTAGAGTTCACAAAATCGCAAAGTAGAGAACAAGAGGCTCAGCAACTGTTGATTTTCTGATTGCCTCAAGTTAAAGAGTTCTCCAACTTTTATTGTACAATATACAGTACAGTACAGTATAGTACCGAACTGTACTGGTACTCAACGCTCTCACAGCACGCTGGTGTACAGTGCAGTACTAAAGTAGTAAAGACGGCAGACTGCTTGACTAGTGCTACGCTATAATAATAATAATTACTATACTGTTTTGTATTACTATTTCATAGTTTTGGCGTCCTTACCTGAGTATGTTACCAATCTGCTTCGGACTAACTATTAGCAAGAGCATTTTGCAGGGGATGCAGACAAGCTGCAAGGGGAAACACTAAGGTGGATTTATTCTCTGACAAGGTTTACGGTATAGAAACACAACATTTTAAATTTGCTCAATATACAAACGTAACAGTATAAGGTTATTAAGTCCTGCAAGGGCATAAATAAACTGCAGCAGAGTTTAGAGCAGTTGATGCAGTGTTGTTGATGCGCAAGGTGGTCAACGCTATGCTCTGACTTTATATCAATTATATATACAGATATATATATTTATTTATTACAGTAGTTCATGGATTGATTAATTGTCGGAGTTCAATGGCGAAGAACGAACCAAAAGCCTTTTTGGAAGTTGTTCTTGATCAATTCAGTAAGGTACGAAAGGAAGATGGTGCCATTCTCGTTGATGAGTATGTCAATGCATACGAAGCTATAATTGTTTTTTTCGACTATTTTGGCCGGCTGTTTTCGTTTATCACTGCAGACGTTAAAAGTAAAATTGAAATTCTTAGGAAACATCGAAAAGGAGATGCAGGTAAACTGGAAGCTGTGCAATGTTATCGAAATAGTAACTTTCATATTTACTCTTGATCTGGTTTGCACACCACTGAAATTCCACTTCGATGAGATACCCAACAATCGGATCAAATCGGATAAACAATCACTTGATCCCAGTAATCTACGTTTTGTCAAGACACGGTATATTGTAGTATTTCGGCTCTGTGGCTAGTAGATCAACAATTACATTTCTATGCTTGAACGAGTATTTATCCTATCTGTAATTACTTTACAATGTACATCTTGCAAACCTTAATCAATAACAGATCGATAATCACCAGTAATTACAATTGCTCACTGTCAGTAAACAAAATATGCCAAATACTGCGCGTATCTCAAGCTGTGGGTCTACATTGTGGGTATTTATTTATAAGTAGTGATCATAGTTACTGGACTTTACGTGTAAACTACTTATCGACAGTAAGTATTCTGTTGCTTGACTAATGAATTCATTAACGATTGCTAACCCTATTTTAGACAATTAAAACTTGCACTGTTACAAATTTAGTGTACTTTAAAGACAGTCTCTAGGCCACTACTGCTGATCTTACTAGTAAAATTAGAGTAAATTAATTAATGATAGGTCAACTGCTGGCTGAAACCATTCCAGTAGAATGCTCAATTTATATACACATGTGCTTTGCTAGATTCACAGTATACAGTAGCAACAATTATCTTGTACCGGTAATCTAGCTATTACAATCTTCTTGGATGCAAATAGCTGCAGGTCTTTCTAATCTGCTAGATTCATTGGTATACAAATTTGCCTTTAACCTTTTACTAACTAATTCCAATTTTCTTAGGCCAAAATTATTTAAGTGTGCGATCAATGCTTGAATATGAGGTCAATCGTAATATTACAATTGTCAAAGGCCCAATACCTTCCGCATCTCGTACCTTGTTACGCTTGCATCGTGCGTTAGATTTTATTCGATTATTTTTTGAGAAATTGTCCGAAAGTCAAGAACACGATAAAGTCTCATCAATTGCGTCCGACTGTTATAACCAAACTTTAGCTAACTTTCATCCATGGTTGGTTAGGAAAGGCACCGCCTTGGCTATGTACGCTTTACCTAACAGAGCTTGCCTTTTAACTAAAATCAACGATCAGGCTACAACGACTGAGGCTGATACTCTACAGTTGTTGGCAAACATTGTAGCAGTTATTAATCCAATTTATGAAGAAACTCAAAGCCTTTATATTAAACAGGATCTGTTATTACTACCTTAATGAGGATTTTACTCCGCTATTTCATATACTATGAGCTACTGCTTTAAGAAAATTTTAAAGCAGGCCACTACAGTATAATCGTTTATTTTCCTTAGTTATCATGTATAGTATAAATTTGCACGATATAATAAGCGGTTCATTTTCTGACTTTGATGAATTAAATTTTAATGCTTATTTTAAATTTACAACAAACAAAAATAATATACTTTATATGTTTAAGTATTGCGGTGAATTGTTAGTAAAAATGAACGAACGAGTTAGCATTCTAGAAGGCTATGTAAAGTTTAATTAGATGTAATTATATTATTAAATAATGTAAATCTTATGAAATATACTTGCATAAATATAGTTTCCTTCATTGCGCATCAACATTAGATCACACGGGTATCATTTGACTGCAAGAAGTGGTTGTAAATCTTAAAAAAAGTGGCTCATACAAATACGTATGGTTAACCAAGTAGAGATAATAAGTAACGTCACGTAAGCATCAATAGCTAAACATGCCTAACGTTACCATCAAGAATTAAATTTAGCTCATAAAAATGCTTGATTAGATCGACATGGATAAACACCATGATAGATACTATGATTACTGTCATACTATCCATGCTTGCAATTATATAGTACAGCAATGCTTGTATTATCTCCATCATAAAAACACATAATTATTCTCTTAGTTCTTCAAAGTTCATGAAAAATAGTACTATCAATATTAAACATCGTCAACTAATAAACAGGCTCAATTTTTCTTTTGAATAGCGCAAATAACACTGCTTATTAAAAAGCTCTTAAAAAGTCTCTTGATGTATAGTATACATAATGTATGTTATATTAATTATCGTAGATTTAGCACGTGTCGCTATAGTCAAATTTTTGTCGTATTCACTGTGCATTAACTCTTTATGTTATAGCAATATAAATCAGCACTACATAAAAATCCTACGATCATAATACTTCTATTACAGTAATTGCTTATATTCATTATCACTGCAGCGCAGCTTACTTTCAACCTAATCGCATATTGTATATAATGCGGCGAACAACTATGCTCAAGGTAAAGTATTACTATTGCTGTACTGTACCAGAAGGATAGCATACAAGTAAAAAATATTGCAGCCCTAGAGAAAGGATTTGTTAAAGCAGCTTTTCGGTTCGGTAAAAATGATGGTGACTGCGTAAGCAAGGACAGAGACACCTTAGGAATTCAAATCTTATCCATAGTCATTACAGGACATTATTTATTTATTGCATATAGTAAAATATTTTCACGAAAATAATACGAGGAATAAATTTTAAATTAATGACTGTTACAATCTTATACTTGTGTATACTTAACTATAACACAAACCAAAGCCAAAGCGATCAAGTGCTTTTACGCAATGCAATTTTAATAATGCAAATTTTTCATTTTGTATTTCTACTACAATAAAGCGTTTAATGCTAGCAGACATCTATTTCAGATGGAAACCATTTCAAAGCGTATAGGAAGATAGTCGTCTGAATAATCAGTATCTATTACTCCGGTGCAATAAATTCACTTTATGCTGTAGTATTTTTAAATTTCACATATGTCAGATTCTTGATATCGTATAATTATGGAAAGCATTTGTATGGATGATGAGAAGAACCGCGTAATGAATTTACATATATACAGTCTTGCGGCTCGCGAAAGAACTCCTAAGATCTATACAAGATAGTTGCTCGGTCAAGATATTAAAGATAAATACGCAATTCAGCATGATCTATTGCAGCAAATCATTTTTCACAATCATTAATTATCGTGATCGACTTATTGTACGAATAATAAGCTACCGTAAGATAAGCATATTTCAAATTAAGTTAAATATCTCCAGTTAGAAAGCAACTGAGCACATACATGATCCCTAATAGCAAATTTAAACGAGCTGTTTCAACAGGCAACTTTCTGAGGTTTCCTTGTCGGAATTGCTTTTCCAAGTTTAATCCGCCGTAGAGCGTTATTAATGGCAACGCATAGAATGGCGACGAAATGATAGCCATACAAGCGAAGATAAGATAAGGTGTAAATAGTAGTATAACGTACAATATGTATGAGCGTTTGTAACCTAGGATGATAGCAAGTGTAATTATACCTGCACGCTTGTCAGACTCAAGATCACGAGCGTTATTGCTATGCAAGATAGCTTCTGTTATTAGCACTAAAGGAATAGCATAGTATACAACTCTAACAACACAAACACCAGCTTGGGCAATGAAAGCGAATAAAACGGCAATTGGACCAAAGCTGATAAAGATCATGATATCGCCCAATGCATAATATTTGAAACCGAAACCTCCAGTATACTGAAATGAGCCCGAGAGCCCTCCGAAGAAAACGAAAGCTAAAACTTCCATTCTGGCCTGTGAAAAGCAAACAATAACAGCGAATGCAAAACAGGCTATTGTGTACAAGATGGCACCAAATCGAACAACTTCATCAGCGGTCAATAAATGATCGATTAATGTCCGATCATCTGCACCATCGTAATCAACACCACGATGAAAATCATAATATGTATTGACTAAATTGCCAGCTCCATGTACCGACAACGTCACTATAACAGTCAATAGAAATATTGGCCAACTAAAAGATTGGGTCGAGTTGTAATTATAATTATAAGAGAGGACAGAACCAAGTAATACTGGTATAAATGAAGCAGCAAATGACCAAGGGCGTAAAGCTAAGACATATCCGAGCCATTTAGCTTGTGATGGCTTATTTCGAACTTGATTGGAAGTAGAGGCTGTTGCTGCCATGTTGCTATTCACGTCAGGCTTGCTGTAGACTATAGATCTAACAAGGCGATATGCCAAATTGTCAATGCAAGAGAACAGTTGTATGTAATTTGTGTTGCCGCTGTAATACTTTAATATTCTTTAATAGTAGCCGTGTATCAACTAGAGATGGTGGAGTGTTAATATGAAAAAAATTATAACGTTAACGATGCCGAGGCTTTCAGTTATGAATCTATTCTGTTTGCCTTATTAAAGTTAGAAAATTATAAATGATTTCTTTAGCAGCATTAGAACAATGGCTTACCTGTTTCACTTGTCCATTTTTTTCCATACTAAACTGCACCGTATGCTTCAAACTGCGTCTTTGTGCTATACTGAAGTATACCGAGTACCCTTTCTAGAAAGTGTATCGTATGCAGTACAGTACTTAGTAACGGCTATACTATCAAGTACAGTACATTGTACTGTAGTTGGCAGTGCACAGTACTGTACTATCTCACTACTACTGGACCCGTCTGAGTTAGACTGACAGGTGTTAAAATAAATAAATAAATAAAAATTAAAAATAATTTTTTATTCTACTTACAGTTGATTGTCTGCTTTCTGCGCTACTAGTATAGGATAGAAGTGGTATGATGCCTGCTGAAATAGTACTTATCACAAGTTCTATCAACGTCATACACATTTTATTCGGAGTTGCTTCGGTACTCATTTGATAAATTATTTACTAGCGATGGAGATAAAACCTAGATGAAACCTTCGAACTCAGTATTAATTAATGTCTCACATGCACTAATAAGAATAAGGTTATTTTTACCGTGGGACTGTGAATTATACAATAGATGCTATGCCAATCGTCGATGCAACTCCATTGTGAATTTTCAAAACAGTAGTGTTCTAATACTGTGTATTATCATATCATTTGAATCAACAATCTTTCAATCTATCATTCGGATGATTAAATAAGAATTAATTATTAACATCAGATAAAAAATAAAAGAGAAATTAAAAGTTTCTTAATGGGTTGCACGTGACAGTGGTATTAGTCATCAGTAAAGCGTAAAATCATGGTGCATTTCGTAGTCTAAATTTGTGTCGACTAATCGACGATGTTTGTACATTTTCAATTGAAGATAAAACAGGTTTATTGTTACACTTTAAATTCTAAACCTGGTTTTCCTAACAGTGGCATCAAACAAGTCTGACGGATTATAACTTGAAATAATTGTTATTTACAATATTTACAGAGCCATCTTCCTTTAACCTTGAATAACGAATTCCGTTGTATGCGTCAGTGTGCTTTCTCTTCATATGCGTATGCGTTCATCTCAGAGCACGAGTATATTTGTATCTACAAAAGTACTCACATTGAAATCTGAAACGTCATTTTTGGGTAACTTAACCATTAAAAACTGAATGAATAATAGTATTAGAGAACTCAATAAAGATCGATCATACGCGTATTTGTGGTTACCATGTTACTAAAATTTAGATGGGATAAGTAAACAAATGATACTACAGCACTGTATCAGTTCTGGATATACACGTATTAGTGTTGTCTTTATTTACTGGCTCAAATGTCAGTATACGCAAGAATTTTTTATTCGCTGAAAACATTCTAGCTAACTTACTAAAAAAAATTTTATCTTATGAAGAATTTGCATCACTATGTGTGTATATGTATTATGCAAATGCGTACGTAGCATTGTACACATAATTATTGTACGTATAATCAATCGCTCTAAAGTCCTTTGAATTAATCAGGTTATTGTGCTATACTCGTACCTATCAAGCTTGAAGATCCCGTCATTTCGATAATTGATTAATTAATACAAACACTACTGCATATGTATTTCTTATCCATCTTATTGAATCTTACCGTGATCAGTAAATTCAGTTTCGTGCTCGGTTTGTTCATCGGAGAATGTAATTAAACTTCATGATGGCACTAAAACTTTATTTGATAAATTGTTCTTAACATATGTACCGCTAACGGCAAGCGCGTTAAACAAGAACTACTAATCAATCTGGCTATGGTACTGTTTTGCAATAAAGTATATGTATTGTATAAATTATAAACTAGAAGTTAGATAAAATTACATTCATGACCTTTGAAAGATCAATTATTTAAAGCTTTCAAATAAGCTATGATGAATTCTAATAACACGTTTTACAGGATATTAATTATAGTCCTGGAGTTAATTGCTCACATTCTGTATATGAACGGAATGAAAGTACATACTTCAAAAATGGATAACGCATTCTTTTAGAACGTACAAACGGTTTATTTTATTCAAGTATACAAGGGATGGGAAATTTATACAATTATACCCCTCAGGTGATTGCAAAACATATACGTGTACAAGACCTTACAAAGTACGGCGTTATTGTCCAATCAGTAAAATTGCTAAAAATGAGAGCAAGCTACAATAATTTACCCACCATGCGTGTATAACGCTATGTACCTACTCTACTAGACACAAATTGTGTTGTCATGCAATTACAAACAACGATTAATTCAAAGGTTAATCCGTACTATAATACAACGTTATAAATCGTGGCAAACAAAGAAAAAAATCAAATTTCTTTTACTTAGACAGCTAAATTTATGAAAGCATTCCATCATGGTTCAGTAGTATTGTACAATCCTTATAAATTGATTGGGTGATCAATTTAACATGCAGTCACTGATCAAAATAAATGTAATACATGAATATTCTAAGTAGTAATAGACCTAACCTCATTAACAGGTGGTCCATTCAATAATCGAACTCTAATGAGCATAGATCACTAACAATTATTTCTTAATTAAACGAAAGTATATTGATTGATTAATTACATACGTCAAGAGCTCAGTTATATTACAAGGCGTAATTTTATTACTCAGGATAAGAGAAATCAAGAAAAAAGATCTGGTCAATCGCAACATTCAATTTGCATCTAGGTTTATAAATAACACTGCATAAATAAGTATCGCCTTATTACCAACATAACGTAGTGGTAGCGTTCTCTATAGAGGCGAAGGAAACCCTCTATGGTTTACTTTCTCAGTAGATTGTGAAAACTGGAAACTAGTTATTTACAATTTCACAAATTTATGATTAGCGTTCTCGGGCGAACTAGTAGTTGAGGTTCAGATTAGACTTAAGTGGTATTATCATCAAGCCGATTAAACTGACAAAGTAAATGAATTTCATTTAATACATGCAGAAATCAAAATTTTACATGGATTGATCCATACAAGACATTCATTGGCTAGATAACTGAAGCATATCATTTCTTCTTTCTTGATTGTGTGCATTTGGGACAATACCTGTAAAAGCATATTTGATTTAACAATCAAGTTTGTAAAGATGTACGATTTTGAAGCTGGGTAATCAATAAATGTAAAGAAAGGGTATATGTGCTAAAGTAACAAACCATTTTCCTTTCGGCTTTGTAGTTAATCCAACACATTGAAAGTGAAACCATTCTATAGGGCACTACATGTCATTAGAAAAAACAAATTATTTGCATGATCAATAAGCGTTATGTCAGATTTATGAGCATCGACGCATAACAAATAGTGTCTTACTTCAGTGTTATCACATCCAATCATTTCGCCATAAGAAACCTAGAGCATAATCCTCGGATTTAGTAACAAGACTACTGAAAGACGCAGCATAATTAACGTAACCCTAAAAGTTTCTATTCTAATGTTTTAAGTCACCTGATGACATAAACAATAAGTAGGTTCATTGGGATCCACTGGCATATCTACAGCTCTTGCATTAAATATAGATTGCGATTGTGCAATCACAGATGCAGCACTGGAGATAGTTTCAAGCCTATTGCATCCAACATCTATAATTACTAAATCAATCTAACTTTACATATTCGCAAGTAGTAGTATTTGGCCGCATTACTAACGTTGATGTTTTCAACTTTTTTCTGCTCGTCTTTTTCCGTCCTGTAGAGCGGCTTCGGTTTTCTATAAGGAATGAAAATTTCTGTATCTAAACAACTCCTAGACTTCTAGAGTTATCATTAATGATACTTACTTTTTATGTCTTGATTTTCCACCATTGTATGAGAATCTAAGTCGTTTTATCATTCATCAGAGAAGTATGTACAAGTAATTAAAAAGATAGCAAAAGGAACGTACATCAAAACGCCTATCCATTAGTTATACACTAATACCTGTAATTTCCTGTTCTTTTTCTTTCAAGTCAGCTTCAAATCGGGCTAGTTCGTAATCTAATCTTCGAATATGTTTATCAACCTATAATTTACGAGAAGAGTTATCAGAAAAATCGTTCATTATTTAGCAATTACGAAATCAGTAACAAAAACTGAAAGATTAAAGTCAACCATGATACCACAAGTTGAAATAAATCTGCTACATACTGTACCTGTACAATGTAAACGAGCTACTATTTAAGCGTATTTCAACAAATTCATCACAATCAATTTACTTTTCACGGTAAGTTTGAAGTTAATATTGTTCATCATACTGCAATAGCGTACAAATGAATCCGTGGTTACTAGTATAACCTACCATTTCATATGTCTGAGTTGCAAGTTGAACTTTATTATCACAGATCATATGACTTTTCTTGTAGGTACAATTTATATCATCCAATCGTTGCTGCCTTTCATCGCTCTTTAAATTAGATACTTCTTGTACATATTGCTGTGTTAATTTATCGATTTCTCCTTTTATATCTTGGATATAAGCGAAAATTTAGAAATAATGAATAGTAGTTACAAAGAGCTTACTAACTACTGTAACTATCCTAACCAAAATCTCGAGGTAATAACACCGCATAAATACTCTACCTTGATTTTTTTGATCCAACTCTTTCATTAACGTGAAATTCCTTTGTAATTCAGAAGGCAGACTTTCTATACCTAACGAAAAGAAAAAAATCACGTATACGCAATAATTAGGATTCTTGTTCCGAAATATACCCACAGAACTAAATATAGCTTAAATAATAGCGTTAAAAGTTTCTCAAATATCATTTATTCTTGTACTCCAATACCAAACGTTAGCCTAGACTGGCAACTTAAATATTGATATTGGTCTTTGATCAAGAAGGATATAGCCGAGAAAATATCTATTCAAAGGTAGTACCTTTTACACATCGAAATAACGCTACTGTACCTCATAGTTATATCGGTTGCTAATTGGATGGTGAAACGCATTCAGAAAATGCAGTTTTTATACTTAAAGCAACAGCTGACATGACGGTAATACATTATAATACTGTTGTTACTACGAATAATTCCTAGATACATAGACAGTATCGGCATAAGGGAACATGATAAAAGGATCTAAACTACGTAGAGCAATTAAGGATTTATGACTTGCATGTCATTGTACAGGCATAAACCTGTGTAGATTAAGATAAATTTTAGTGAATTAACGTTTCGCACTGTCAATTGTTGAATCTTGTAGACCACAGTGTTATTATTCTATTTTACTGATCTCAAGCCTCACGAGTTTATTGAGCTTTATTTACAGTACTAACGCAGAGAACACCTAATATCCAAATAACGTAACATAAGCTTACAAAAATTAATTTAGCAAACAACAACGCGTCAAAGATTACTATCATAAGCTTACAAAAATTAATTTAGCAAACAACAACGCGTCAAAGATTACTATAATAATTATAGGATGACCTACATTGATTACTCAATTTTCACAGTATTTTTTACTACCACATACGAAGTATGATTTTACAATTCTCTAATCATACAGTATACGTACATTGTACTTACAGTACATCACGCATTCAATATCGAATAGTACAAAAAAAGCTAGTCACTCTCAAAAATATCCGTTTATGGCTTGATGGTTATGATCGATGATCGAGATAGTAATCTCTGCTATTGAAGTAGCAATGTAGCAAAGGGTTGGGTCCTAAATTGCTTCAAGTTCCAGCTAATTATAGTAACCAAACTACAGTATTGATTGGACAGATAATTGCATATATAATTATATACAATAATTAATTAATCTGTACTATGACTAAATACACGAATACGGTACAGTGCTTAGTATAGAATGCAATCAGTGATGTCATCACTGATTGCTGAGCGAATTCGAGACCCTGAAAGTCAGTCATTTACATATAATCATAATTTTAGGGAAAATATATAATTACTACTCACTAAAAGTGCACATTTTCAGAGCACTGGGCTATCTGCCATAAACTGAGACCTGCTGACTCTCGGACTCTCCATACAGTGTACACTTGTGTAGTAAATCGACAGTAAAGCCTGATAGATACTATAGTTCAATCAAATAAGGTACTGTTTGGAAGATACCTTTTTGAGAAATTCTATGGAACTTTACTGATGTGACGACTTTATATTGGGTTTTTAGATCAATCTGGCCCCCTTTTTTAATCAATGTAACCTCATTGTAACGTAATAACAACTATGGCGGTTCAGAAAAATGTCGATATAAATGTTATAAATACCGCACACTACGATACCATTCTACGCTATTAATTAATTTTCCCATAAATAATAATGTACTGTAATACTATAGTTCATAGAGTATAGTATGCTACCATGATGCTACGTTCTGTCCAGTGCGGTGTACAGTAACTGTACCGTTCCTGCCTCATCGAATAGCGAAAATAAGGTGTTTTATGACTCAATATAACCCCTTACAACCGAGAGAGATATACTTTACTATTATCATCAAATGATCACGAAGTTTCACATTAAAGTCCCTAAACAGAGATGTCAAATCTACACGCATCTATAATAGTTAATTAATAAATAATAAATTAAACTTTATCAGAGTAAAAATAACTACATATCGACCGATCATGTTTACAGTGGCAGTAAAATTGAGTGTCTAATGTGTATGATGTGCAGCCTACATGCTGCACTTTATATCTCTAGAGAATGACGATGTCATGAAGGAACTGCATCATTAATAATACGTCAATAGAACATATATTAGTCATCCTTACTATCTAAGTAGTGCTCCAAGTAAAGCACGGAGGCCATATTCTGTTTTCGGCGGATATTCCGCGCCCTCTGAGCTCGTTAATAATGATGCAGGCTTTATTATGAACCGTAAGCAAACTTCTACGAACCAAACACAGTTTGCAGTGTGCATGTAGCAGTACTGTATGAACCAAAGGGGTAATACTGTAAAATACTTTAGTAGTCTGTATGTCTGTCTGTATTGTACTTACAGTACACACTTCAGTACGGCGTGTACAGTGCACAGAGAGGTCTTGCCTTGTACTGTACTGTACTGTACTGTACAGTACTGTACGTACAGTAAGGATGATTACAGTACAAGGACTCTGTGACTGCCTGTACAGTACTGTAGTTCAGCAATGACAGACGATGTAAACAACGAGATACTCGTACACTCTGCTAGATTAGTGGATTGCTCATGGAGAACGCCATAGGGTACAGCACAAAATATATTTTTGACTTGTTTAGGATGATTGATGCGATTTTCACTAATATTTAATTAATACATTCAAACTTTACAACTTATTATTTTTATAGTTTGCCCTCACGTAGCACGAGTAGCATCTATTTTAACAGCGCTGCATATGTACAGTACTCTACAATACTCTGTAATTTCAATGCAAATGTTTTGTCTTGATGTTGATCATTTAGTGCTGCTGGAGATCCTCAAACTGTGTACCTTGACTTCAACGCAACAACACCTGTAGCTCCAGAGGTATTAGAGGCTATTCATCATGCCCTTAAAGATTGTTGGGGGAATCCAAGTAGTTCCCATCATTACGGTAATCATATAAAATTTTGCCCATAAATGGGGTGCTAGCGCCTACTCTAAAATAATATAACTTTCAGTGCTAAGCTTGAAGAGAGACCTGATCTCCTAATTTACAGCTTTGATCTGTCGTACTGGATACAGTACTGTGAATCATGCACTGTATAATTAATTATCACCCTACATCAAATAATAGTTACTAGTGCAAACTCCCGTCGCTTTGCTGAGAACTACACTGCTTACTCCAAATTACGAGACTTTTCCTTTGAGTTAATTAATTCTTACTGAAATATAATTAAGGTACGATTCATTAATAAATAAATAGGCATCAAAGCAAAGAAGGTTATTGACGAAGCCAGAACTAACGTAGCAAGAATGATTAATTTGGACGATGCATCTGGTACAGGATAATAAACAAAATTAAATGTAATAATAATGTTACAGGAATTAAAACTTGCCAATGGAAGCGAGTGTCAGAATTTTTACTAACCAAATTATGTATTATTATGATATTGATCAAATTAGATATCCTTTTTACATCAGGCGGAACAGAGGTAAGCTACTGTTTCTGCAAATCGACGTATAGCTTTCTTTTTTAGTAAATGTTAGTGATTATCTTGCAAATTTATTTTTCAATATTCTAGGCCAATAACATGGTTATAAGATCTGTTACTACACATTATTCCAGACTTTGCAAAGAATCTGGTGATCTACCGCATATAATTACCTCTAATATGGAACATGACTCTGTCAAATTAGTACTGGAAAAACTAGCAAATGAAAATATCCTCGGTATAATGCCAATAGAAATTAACTAATTATTTAATATATAATCATTTCTTCTATATTTACACAAAGTCCAGTCAGAAATGCGTGATTGCAGATTCTTTTTTTCAAAATAACCGTCTACTTTTTTACTACTCCAAGGTTCTAGAGCGAAATCATAGATTCGCTTTATGCAATTAAAATTTGCTGTTCTTTAGTTATTTTACTGGCATATCTACTCTTGATCTCATAGAATACACAGTTGTAAATGCTACTCAAGCTTCAGGGGGAACTGTAAAATGTGATGGCATTACTCAGTTAGTTAGGTAATGCACATTTTCATACGTTAGATTTGCCTTATTGATTTTCAGAAATCGAATGTAACACGATTGCTTACTTTCAATTGAATTCATTAGCAGCGTGATTTATTATTATCACTATCCGTAAAAACCAGAATCAATTGAATTATGAATTTTCACTCACAGGCCAAATACTTGTTTGATTTCAATTATGCTTGCAAACAATGAAACTGGAATAATCCAAGTAATTCCTAAATATTAATGCTTTAGTTAATATTTAATTTCGATGAAATTAAAATCTATAATGATCACATATAATTCTCGCTTATTAATGTACCAACATTTACAAATATTTCAATGACTACTTTATGGTTAATTAGCCTATAGCAGAAATAGCTAAAGCTGTTAAGGCTCTGAACTGCGTGAGAGAACTTCATAATCGAATATATTTCCATACTGATGCAGCTCAGGTACAAAATAAAATGTCTTCGCATACAAATTTGCAAGCTGTAAATTTATACAATTTCATTTACGACCTGCTGATGATATGTTTACGTTTTTCTTAGGCTTTAGGTAAAATTCCAGTAAAAGTTAAGGATTTAGGAGTCGATTACTTAACAATAGTTGGGCATAAGGTGATCTATAGTTGATACTTATTACTTAGAACTTCTAAAACTATGCATAAATTCCCTATCATTGCAAAATATATAAGTGACATTTTTATATAGTTTTATGGACCAAGAATTGGTGCTTTATATGTCAAAAATCTCGATGCCAAAGAAACTCCACTTTATCCGATGATATTTGGCGGAGGTCAAGAGCGTAATATGAGATCAGGGTATTCATTATGCAGAATGAAAGCTTTTAAAGACAAAGGTTTGAGAATATGCATTGAACGCTGACTCTTAAGGTTTCCTATACATTATTATTATTTAGAACTGAAAATACTGGCATGATTGCGGGCCTTGGTAAGGTAATCCAGTGAAACAACTAGCAAATCTTGTAAATCATTTATTCCATTAATACCGCTTTTGTATTTACTGTACCCTTGATATTGCCTTAAAGGCCGCTAGCTTGGTTGCACAGAATGTGGAATTATACTCTACTCATATGGCAAAAATAAGGGACTATCTTGAAGATAGATTGAAGGTTTGCTAATTTAATTGCTTAAGGCAATCACGTATTTATAATGAGTAATGTTGATTCATATTGATTCAAGTCCTCCTCTAAGTTAGGTAGCTTCTGCACTTATGTACTGTACGTATATATTAACGTCTCCTTTATCAACGTAATTTAGGAAAAATTCGGCGAAATGGTACATTTTAACGGCCAATTTCCGACTAGCCAGCGTATACCCAATACCTGTAATGTTTCGTTCATCGGAAAAGAATTGAAAGGTTGCCTCCTATTATTTAATTAAATAAATTGCTAAGCGGCAGTAACTATGAACTCATTTGACGCCTTTGCATTACCAGGTTGGGATATCCTAGCAAATGCAAAGATCTTAGTAGCGAGTATAGGAGCAGCCTGTCACGCGCAAGATCGGTAATTTACTATAATAATATGATAACACGCCATACCAGGGGCGAATTTATAGCATGAGATTTAATTCAAATTAGAAAAGGGTGATTCACCTATGCACTAGCCATGTTGAGCTAGTATTTTCATGAAATCATAGCAGAAAGTAATATTGTTATTGACTTTCCATTTTTAGTCCCTCCGAGATCCTTCTTTCCATCGGTATACCGAAAGAAATTGCATATAACGCCCTAAGACTCAGCGTGGGACGTGAAACCAGCATTTCCGATATAGATAGAGTTATTAGTGATATTCAGCATGTAATTGATAGACTACGTCTACACTAATCGTTCGCTTTAATTTAAAGCAGTATGACGATTGTTAAGGCTGCTGCAGGAAAGATTAATAGTCGTAGTCTTCAATTAAACTTTTCTTTTAGTCGATTATGGAAATTAAAATTTCCGAATGTAATACATGATGAGCTGAATAAACGGTCAATTTCGCTGCAACAGTATTAGGAAATTACCGTAATACCTACGTTATAGCGGATTTGCGTTCCATCAAATACGAAATTCTTGCACTGGATATACTTACAGCAATATAACATACTGTATACGACTACGTCCAATCGTGGACCATTTCTAGTAGAACATAATGTGTATGAAAAATATTACAATTCAACATACGTATAAAGGGCGAAAAGCGCTTTTATTAGTAATTGCCGCCAAATTATAAACATTAATAGTTTTTAAAATTTGGTAGCAACAATCAAAAACTAATGCAGAGGCAAAGATGCACCATCGTACAATCATATTGTTTGCCTAGGTAACATTACATTCATAAAAATTTAAAAAAACGGTAAATCTACGTTTTTCACCATCACATGAGCTCATCTAAAATACTGAAACGAATAATCAGCTTGATATAAAGCAACTGAAATTACTCGCGGAAGAACAGAAATAAATGCTTCAAAATAGCTTTGTGTTATACGACATTACGAAATAAATAACTAGCACTAAAATAAGTCGGATATTAACTCCATACTGTACTGTATGTACATCATGTGTTGCTCACCCTTAACCATCCTAAACTATATAGTATGTGTTCGTCATTTGGATCAATTATAATTTCATAGTTCTATCGTCAGTATGCAATCATAGATACAATTTACATTTAGTAAGAAATTCTAATTTAGCCTCCAGTAGACAGACCATTAAGAATTCACCACGACGATCTGGTCACACCGGCTAATTTGCCAGAATCTGCAAGCTCGCGAAACTTAATCCTCGAAATACCGTACTGTCTAACAAGTCCGCGAGGTCTTCCAGTAAGGTTGCATCTGTTGCGAATCCTGGTAATGCTAGAGTCCCGAGGAAACTTGTTATGTAATACTTCTTTGGCATAGTTAGTAATTTCCTTTGGTAAAATAGCAGATTTTGCGATAGTTTTCCATCTTAATCTTTCACCTTCAAACTTATCGAATAGGGCTCGTCTCTTCTTATCACGTCGCATCCATTTATTACACATCATTGAGCTGGAGGAAAAATTTCTTAATATGTTACCACGAGCAAAGGAAAGTGTGGCATCGTTTAATAACTGCAGAGTTCCTGATAAACAAGAAAGAAATACAGTACCAGAGTTAACGTCGTATTCAATGAAATGCTTAGATCATTACTTTATGATTGCGAACGCAGCTTCCTAAATGCCTACCTTTAACCCTTGATATAGCGGAAAACATCTTGAAAAATATGTCCTCCGCAAATTACTGCTATGGTCTCTTGGTGGTCAGTCTACACGTACAGTACATTACTTTAAATAGAAAGCACAGTACAGTACTGTACAGTACACAATACTGTATACAATATACAGTACTGTACTGTACATTCAGTGATTTGACGATACTGTAGTGTACAGTACAGTACCATGGACACTGTCCCTGTGTACTGTACCGTATACTGTACGCGCTGAAGAACTGAAACCACTGCCATGAGTACGAATATACAGTAGTTGAATGTGTAAAACAGTTGTCGTGAATGAAAACTGCTCAACGTTTAGAACACTTTGTTTGTAGTATCGCGTAAGGATTTTATTCGATATCTGTCTTTACTCATTTTGCAGACCTTTCATCCTTCAACACTATGCAACAGTATCAATATCAGACGGATTGGAGCTAGTTAAGTAAATCGGTCTAGTACACATGCTCAAATCCCAAGATAACTCGAAATATAGTTATTGGTCACTGGCTTAACCAGCACGCCATTCCGTAAGAACAGGATTTTCTGATCATTATAATACTGTATTACTTGGTATTGTACAGTACTCAGCACAAAGCACGCACTCATACCTATGACTCATTACTCAGTCGGCAGAAAAAAGAAATAGTAAATTCACTGAAGAGAAATCTACCTGATGATACTTTGATTAGATTTGCAGTTGATAAAATATTTCACTGATTTATAATGAGTGGAGTTTACTCCAATCTTACACGATGATTTATACGCTTATTTATAAATTTCTTGCAAGGTGTCGCTATGTTTGTGACGAGAAAAGAATGATGTACTGTAGCATAATGAGATCGAAAACAATTTATTAATATGCGCTCTAAACCTAGAAACAATGTAGATACTGCGCTTTGATACAGTTTACCGTTTACATGTTAATAATATTTATGGTTGAATGTTTATACAAGTTACTAAAGACAAGTTATTAACCAATACTGGCGAAGCTCGAACGCTATAAGGTAAAACAAATGGAATCGTTGCTAAAGGTCTACTACTACAACTTATAACGCCATGTTAATTAGCTCAGAGTGGTCTTTTTAACTTTGATCGTCTCCATTATCATTTCCATTATCAGCCTTTACTTCTTCCTCTTCCTTTATTGTATCAGTTTCACTGCCCTTCGCGCGCTTCATGAACGATTCTGCATCCTGAAAGTGTTGTAAGCAATTATGTGCTCTTAATGTCACATATATATATCAATATTTAACAACATTTGCATTAGAACAAGATCTACCACTGTACGGTACGATACTATTGTAATATTTTTCCTCTAGTAATATGCCCGTGTAGAGCTCGAATATTGTAGCTCCATTAAAACTAGAAATATTTATAGCGACCACAATTTCCTTAAATAAATACAGTACTACGCTATCAACTTAACAAAATTAATCATCAATCAGTCAATCACTACAGTATGGCAATACCATACAGTACACATAAAACCGTGACATACTGTAGACTCTTTTACTGACTGAAAATAATAAATAGTCACGAGATCTGCTCCTAGTCACGCACTCACTATTCACGAGAATGTACTCGCAAGACTGGAGCAAACAGTAGAGACTACTACTTATACAGTACTGAATGGTACAGTACAGTACTGTATGATAGACGACCAACAATGGCATCCTTTGTTTACTGTGTGCCAAATGTTTACTACTAAGAAATGCTGAGTACTTACGGCAATTGTTGCTTCCATTGTCGTTTTTCTTTTCAAGGAATGACCATTTTCTTCTTCCTTCTCATCATCATTTGCCGCTTCGTCATTATTAGGCTCGGTCTCAGTATAATTCTCTCGCTCAAGAAATTCTTTACCTTCCTGCATTTATTTACGTCCATATTAATATAAGACATCGCAGTTTTAAAGCTAATAAAGTAAGCAATCTTACAACGAATGTACCATATTCAGTGCTCAGTAGCTGCAGCGCTAACTAGATTATCATGCAAACGATACTGAGCACAGCGAAATACAAAACATATCTGAAATATGACATATTGTACAACGAATAAAAATAATGAAATTTAGACGACATTGCAGACAAATTACTAATTTGATTAAGGATCAATATTATACGAACTAGAATTCCAGTACTTGACGGATGCAACTAACGAGACATGATTTCGTCAAGGTCATCTTATCGCTAGGATACAAAACTGCTGCATTAACTATATAAACACTTATATAATACGTAGTACTGTAGTGCATGGTACAGTAATACGATTTCATTTTTGCAAGACCCTCCATTTATAAGAACTGATACGAGTTTATGAGCAGTATTATTGCAACAGAATCTTAGGCACTATTAACTTGCGTTTTTGACAGGTTAAAAGACAACAATACATTGTTAACAACACACACGTAGTGTAACGCTTTGGTATTGCACAGTCGGGTGCATTGTTGTAAATCATTCATAATTAGTAGGACTATATACGACGAAACTTGGCATCAACACATAATGAATAAAATAAATCGAATCAAAACTTGAAAGCTTTGACATACAGCTGTACAGTATAATACAGTACAGGACTTTAAAACGTGAAATCAATTTTTGTTGCACCTTAGCAGTCACTGCCATAGTCGAATCCCGCTTCAGCGCAGGGGTAGATTCTTTTTCATCTTCTTCACCAGTCTCACCCGCAGTCTGAGCCCTAGTTCGGCTAAGTCTCTCTTCACCTATTAATTTTGCACCTTCCTATCATGAGATAAGAAAAACAACTCGCAATTAGATTTTCTGTTCATTTTGTGATTGATTAACAGCCACTCAAGACAAATTCGAAAGTCAAGTCAGTGTCTACATAATATTTTTCAACTACAGTACTGTACAGTAATACTCGTGGAGGTAAAAAAACGCTTTCTTTTTAAGTTTGCATACATTGTACGGTATTGCTGTTTGCGTAACTATACGGTTATACGTAGAGTACGGCACGGTCCGGTACTGTCATGGACTACTAGTACTATACCCGGATATTTTACACTATCATTTACAGTAGTGTAATTAACAATTTATTGTAGAACCGAAAGAAAGATAAAAAGAATTTGTTACTTCAAGTTTGGTTTTACACGCCAACACACGCATAGCGCTGTAAACTGTTAAGTACGTCGCGCCTGCCTAGATTTAGGAGTCTAAAACTGTTTATGATGACAGATAAAAACGAATTGGTAAGTATCGGCAGCGTTATCCATATCCATTTATTCCAAATTTCTTCTAGCAACCGATTAAAAATAAATAAGTTACGGTCTCCTAAAATACGATATTTTGTATATTATATACTTAATTAAGGAGCTTTTGAATAAGCAAACTACAACAGCGCTGTAAATAAAATAATAAATAACTATGCTACGGTATGGAGTGTGCATGCACAAATGTAACCGTACCATGAATGTTATGATATTTTTATTGCGTGCATAACGAAAATTCTAATGAAAAGAATTTATTTTAAGAATTGAATGTCTCCCGTTATTATTTTTAGTTATAACAATCAACTTTATATCTGAGTGTACTATATCACTGTATTAAATAGCATGCACTGTACCGAATTGACACCAGCAGTGCTGTACTACGGTGTACGAAAAGTACGCTACAGTACAAACGATAAAAGCAATATTTCACCAACTTAAGAAATATGAACGAGGTACGCATTAAATTATACGGAGTGTTCAGTCGTTCAATAGCTTCTACCAAGGCTTTGAGAACGGTTGATTATTCTCGTATAAGTGTCATCAAATATTGTATTTTTCGATAATCAAATCATCAAAATACTGCAGCGTCATACCTCAACGGTAGCAGCCATTGTACTCTTTCGCAATAATTTACTAGGAGAATCAATATCCTGACTAACACTTTCCAAGTCTTTCTGCTGACCACGGGTCTTTGCGTTCAATTCGATCTGATCACCTAGGAATTCTTTACCTTCCTAGGAATATTAATACAAATTGTTAATTTTACCAAATTCAATGCTCTCAATAACTTGTGATTACAGTGAAAAAGTTAAATATACCGTTCTGAGTAATGATTAAATTACTGTAAATACGTATTTTGATCCAATGCGTATACAGTATATTGAGCATAAACTTCAAAACCTAGATTACAGTTGATGATTTTTGCTTAACCTGAATAGTACTTGCACTTACTAAATTAAAAATATTCCCGGTGTCTTTACTTAAGTATCTTTAGCACAAAATTCGCATCTTTGCTGCTATACACAAAGCATTTATACTAACTTTCACGCAGCATTGTACTACAGTACCGTCGAATAAAATCGTAAAACACAAAGAATCTCAAAGCAGGATAGGTTAGTACAGTACTGCTACGGTTACAACGAAAGTACTGAATATGCATAAAGAACGCTTGCTTATTGATGTATTATTAGTCTCACCATACAGTACTGTACAGTACTGTATATAACTATATATAAACTCGATAACTCAATAACTGCATTGATATACTATACATTAGGTTATACGCAAACAAAAAAAAGCGTGAGCATTTGCAATGTCATTTATGAACACAGGCGTTAATGATGATTTTTGTTAAGATGTGTGACCATAATTTTAAGATATTACTGCGTTCAATGATCCAGTCTATTTTCTAACCTTTGCTGTTGCAACCATTGTATTGTCTCGTCGAAGTGTTTCAGTTGAATCCGCCATGATTACCGTCGAGCGAGTTCTTGTTTTTTGCTTTCTGTTGGCTGCAGCTGCTGGGTGCAAATGAGGAAAGAATTTGAAACAATGCAACAGCTTTTAAGAAAGGGGATGCCTAGCGTTGCGTTTGGGTACAATACAACAAGAAGATAAGTCCATGCAAGCATCGCCTGTCAACAATGCAGTCAATTATTACGAGCGTGCGTGAATGGATCAAGGAGCAGACAAGAGGCAAGAGCGCGAATGAAGTGGCCAGAGTCCAACCTTGCTGTATTGATTTACTGTCAGTCGTCTGTGACTGTGAATGGCGGGTGAATGACTGCGTTCCAGATGAAAGAAACAAACATTAGCCGAGCCAGCCCGGGCCCTTCCACTTTAATCTTTTACGCAAGACCGTGACGTTCGTGACAATTCAAATGACGTCCATTGTTGAAATCATAGATTGATAAATACACTGTACAGTACATAAAAGAAAGAAGTTTCGCTACTGTATCATGTACTGTACTGTACAGTGTACAGTGTACAGTACAGTGTACAATATCATGTACTGTACAGTACAGTATTTAGTAGTGTCCGAGATACTGCACAGTACAGTACAGTGCAGTGTGTGAAGGAGAACAAAGAAATACCAGAAACATGTGTTCATTTTCCCGCAACTGCCTCACCGTATGATGTACCGTAAAAAGTGATGCCAATGTGTCGAACACTACCATTTGTACTGTAGAGTAAATAAGGTAGATATAGATATTGAAAACCGTCAATAGAAACATTCTAAAACTAATTAAGGGGTTTATAAAGTTTACTGTAAATAATAAAATAATAAATAAATAAATGTAAATGAACCTTGGCTTTAACAGTTATAAATTAAATTTTATTAGCCCCGATGAGTAGCAGTGTTTTCATTGAAAGCATACCATTTCGTGCCAGCAATTGCGATAATCGCCTAGTAACCCGTGTCATTTATTTATCATTGTAATTACTGTATCATCACAACCACGTACAGTGTATAGCACTAATTGCACTACTGTAAGTGGCCTTCCTCGTAACATACGCCCATGCTGTGCTGTACATTTGTGCTAGGAGAAGGGACCTCTCAACTACGATAGCATTAGCAATGAATTTTTAAAAGCCACGCTACGTGTGTACTGCCTTATTTCTAACTATATCCCGCTACTCAAGGAAGAGAATTTAATTCCATATTTTAAATTATTATTGTTTCGATGAGTTTTGATTGACAGTCAATTCATTTGAAAGCTCTATTTAAGGACAATATTACATATGATCCCGACTTCAAAAACTCACGCAGATCAATTTGCTTTTCTGCAGCGTAATTCAACGTCATAAAAGTCGCAACATTGTACAGTAAATTGTCTTTTCTGTGTTTGATACCGCGTGCTTTCATCACGAAGTTCAAGCCATAGGTGTCAGCGTCAGCTTGCGGAGAAAAGTTCTAAAGCTACAATATAGTACAGTACAGTATGTAGTATGTACTGTAGGTCAAAGAAAAGGCGAATTTAAACCTGTATGGCACGTCCATTATGTACTAATACGAATATATGATACAATGTATGATTTCTCTTATGAAAATAAAAGAAACGATTTAGAAGATCCCTAATCCATATCCATACTTTGCATAAAAGTTATGTGGTCCAGTAACAAAGACAAAGCCTAACCGCGTGCAATCTCTTTTCCTTTGACTATGTACAGTACAACAAACGATCAACAAATCTATTTCACGATCATGACCGTTGCGACTTGACATATCGAATCATGGAGGTAAAAACCTCTATGGTACTGATAGATTTGAAAGAATTTCTGTACTGTACAGTACTATCCACTTCGTTTTAATGGCTATCGTACAGTACTGTACACTGAGAGTGTACAGTACACTGTACAGCCCCTGCTAGTAACCAGGCTGTACTGTACAGTACTGTACAGTACAGTACTGTACAGTGCAATACTGTAGATCCAGTCATTTCCCCATCACATACTGTACTGTACTGTATCCAGAAATACCGTTTCACCGGAATTTCAGTACAGTACATCTTCAATGCATTTGTACTGTAGAATACAGAGCTGACTTCGATGGCAACACCGCAGAGAAATGCAAAACGATGAGATTGACACAACTAGCATTCATCTGTTCACATTTTTATAGCCTGCAGCATCCATACCATACGAGTATAGAAAGATTTTACGGAGCTATTCCACAACCATAGAAGCCGCATTGCCTGTGAAATAGTTGGATCAAAGTTGACCCAAATAATTTACTGACCGCGTGCGAAAAACTACAAATGAAGGTCCCTAGCATACTGTACAGTACAGTACTATGCTACTGCGATAGCATGCTTAGTGTCATGGAACGTAGACGCCAAGAAAGGTGACTCTCCTATATTTAGCTTCTCGACAACACTCGTACGACAATATGGAATGTAGTGAAATTAATTATATAATTACTAATTAAATAATGTTGAAAGTAAGCTGCAGTTCTGCACTGCCAATGTCAGCAGTCGTACATATTGCCGCAGTATGGATGCTGTAGTCGAAAACTAAATAGGATACTAGGCATGCAACGGCAGTCAATTGACAGCGAAGTGGCAGGAATTGAAACTAGTTACAGTTAAATAGCATACTCAAGTTCTAGCTCTCAGTACATATTTAATGACCGCACGATACGAGCGTATCAGTATGCAGTGACGTATAAACACCTACAGCGATGTAAAGCAGAGAATATTTAGCGTGAACTATAAAATTAATGTTGCAATGCATTGGTTTATTGTACCATGCAGGAGCTCTACGAAATAGTAGCAATAAGATCAAGCCCCTAAAACATGGGTGATTTCAGGTCTTTTACCAGGTTCGTTCTAATGTGACAATTTACCAACGTTTTACAAGGTGGCTTGATCATATTGAGTAGCAGATGCATTTTGATATTAATCAGTAATATAAAACTGGACCCCAAGTTACGGACAATCAATATTATTAACATCTAATATCTGTTATTATGAATCAAGCTGATGTACCTGTAATAAATAAAGCAAGGTATTGCAACTTGAATAAAACTGTATAAATCATTTGAAGAAAAGCGAATTACCCCTGAATTTGAATTATAGGAGTATTGGAAATGAACGCAAATTCAGAGTGCTAATGGTGCTATGCGCGTACACGATTATTTTTCTTTAGTTAAAGTATGTAAAATTTGTGTTGCGATGGCATAAAATAAACATGATCTCCTACTGATTTGACCACGTGAACAATTTTCTGAAGATCAAAGTATTCTTTGAAATATTTAAAGGAATAATAGCATTACAGGAAACAGTACAAGATCATTTACCGTCTTCATTGATATTAACTTAAACAGCATAAGATGCTGTTTAAAGAATTTATTTTCATCTACTTAGCTACGATAGCAATCTCTAGCAGCAGTCAAAGGTGTTCACCTTCACCGTTACAGCAACGAATTAGCAATGCGGACTATGTTATCACTGCCAAAGTTCTCAATATCAATCGAAATCAACAACAGCCAACTTATTCCAGCAATGTTGAGGTGATTGAAGTATTTAAGCCGCCACGTTTGTCTCTACCGCTATCAATAACTATTGATAACTTTGGCAATACCAGAATATGCCGTTCAAATGTTAACACTAATGACACCAGGATACTATTATTTAATGGCAGTAGCCAAAAATATGTCCTTTCCACATCGTTCGAATATGTTACTGAGGAACGATTAAAATTAATACGAACTGCCGTTCAAGGTAAATTTACTGCTGTATATAGTACAATACGATATTGGATTTTGTATATTGCGCGTATATTACGGGTATGCTAACGCAGCATGCTACATATGAAGATTGGGCCCTACACGTTCATTAAAGTCAATCAAAAGTTGTCGTTAAAACTCGGACACCAATATTACATACTATTCATTAAAGACCGTGATTGTAAATCATTGCATGATAAATTTCGCAGCTATTCCTTAAAACCTCTCTTAGTAGAAAAAAATTTAGAAATTTGATCGAAATCTTATTTCGAAATACATATCAAAGGTCAAATATAAGCTACCGTAGCAATGTCCTTTACAGCCAATTATAAACATCAAATATGAATCAGTCTAGAGATCGTTAAAATTCAATTTAGAATTTCATCCTATCGCCTTTCGAATCATCATTGTTATAAATTATAATTTAACACTGTTACTAGCTATATATTACTATCCGGTAAAATACAATGATCGTTTTGGTTCAAGAATTCAACACTTACAGGATTGACTTATAAAAATTGTCTAGTCTCCAAACGATAGCAGTTCCTCTTACGGCTTGAAATAAGAATGTATCTTCGAGTAACTTAAAGTAATTACTGCATGATGCTGGATTGATTTAAGGAAAGTAGAATTAGACAAAGTAGGTCATCTCTACCTTACATTATTACAGTATACAATCATTGCATGCCAATTATACTGTACTAATTGTAATTAATTATGCAGCGTAGACAGATAAAACTAGTGTCTTTCGAAAAACAATTTCATTGATTAATATTAATAAATTTCGATTTATGGTAGTAGTGCCTGTTCTGGCTTTGATAGCAACACGAAGTAAATCTTGATATCTTTGAAATTTTTAGATCCAACAGGAGATCATCAGCTAGATTCCAAAGTCAGAACCTGCTCAGAAATTGTCTGTCGCATGGGTGCTACCTGTAGTAACGAAATTCAAGAGGGCCAATGTTCTTGTATAGATTGTCATAATTTAACCAAGTCAGAGCCTGTATGCGCGAGCGATTTGAAAGTCTATTCAAATACATGCCAATTAGAACGTCAGTCGTGCCTAACAGGGACCCAACTAAACATCTTACCGCGAGATAATTGTGGTAAGCAATTCCTTCTTTGTAGAACATATGTATATGACGTTAGTATTAATGCTTAGGTAATCTAAACTTGATTATGATTTATTGTTTAGATACAGCTAATCCTTGCAATAATATTACATGCGAGAACTATTCAATCTGTCGATTGGAAAGTAATGGAATAACCGATAATAATCCGACTTGCCGATGCCCTACGAATGTGTGCTCATTATATTACAATCCCATTTGCGGTAATAATAATAAGACTTACTACACGCAATGCCATATGATACAAGATTCTTGTCAAAATAATATCACCGTCATTAAAAGCTATGGTGGAGAATGCGGTATGTTGATCCATTAATTCTGCTATTCATCAATTTGTTCTTTTCATTTTATTAATCCTTTCCTTTATACATAAAATTACTACTACACTTAACATTACGAAAAGTAGAAAAGATTCAATCTATGTCTTTATGGCTTCGATGAAGCATCTTGTTGGATGCTGGAGTAGCTATAGATATTGCAGATAAAATATGAAAATTTAACCTAAATTTAACTTTCACCTACTTTCATAAACAGCCTCAGATGCAACCGATTGCCGCACATTCCGATGTTTCCAAAATGGTCAATGTCTAAACCGAACTTTTGGCTACTACACTTGTCAATGTCCCCTTGGTTATACCGGTACTTACTGCCACCAAGGTAAATATCTAAAATAATAACATTTTTAGCAATAAAGTTAGCATAGATATTGGTAACAATAAATATCGTAATCTTATTCAATATCCAAGTTAACATCAAATTATGAAATTTAAGTTAGTCATAACCCTGGTATCAATAAATTGTTATAGATCAACAAGATGCAATCCCGTCATTTCATGATGGTTCTTATATTCGATTTAAAAATACGTCAACTTGGGATAGAGAAGTTAATTTGACAATCGAATTTATGCCATCAGTATTTGATGGTCTCATATTAATTGGAGGTAATCTAGTTTCATCTAATGGGGACTATTTTGCCCTGTCCCTTCGCTCGCGGTATATCGAAGCAAGGTATTTCAGGATCGATTTACGTAGAAACCAAAAAAATTGAATTTGGAAATTTATCTTTAAATTAGTAGTATGTTTGTTTTCTCTAATAAACTAACTTGTAAATGTCAATGCTCCTTTCCTTCTTCTATATTAGTTTCGAATTAGGTAGTGGTAAAGGAACTGCATCAAGTAAAATAGCAGTTGAAGTTAATCGATGGTATCGGGCAACTGTCAAACGATCAGGGAGAGATTTTACGATACAAGTAAATGAGGAACCTCCGGTGGTGGGTAAAGTTCCAGGTTCATTATCCGAGCTGAATTCACTAACTGATATTTATCTAGGCACTTTACCATCTGGTTTATCAACGTAAGACATTTATATCGCTTTGTAATTATATAATCAAACACTCCTAATTGGTAATATTGGTTTCAATAAGACCATAACTTGAACAGGATTTTTAATCCTGTTTATATTTTTTCTGAAACCTTTTATCCCACTAATTTTTTTAATGTTGTATCATAACTTCTTCATGCAAGTCTTTATCGTTTTCAGATCAAACCAATTTCGAAGTCGAATACAAATGAATCAAAACTTTGGGGGTTGCATTCGATCATTAGATATTAATAATATTGAATATAACTTAAATGTTCCATCATCCAATAAGCCAGACAATGTTGTATCTTATTATCAATTAACAAGATGTGTTGCAAAAAACCCTTGCTCCCCAAACCCATGTCAAAATGGGGGTGGATGTAGTCCACTGAGTGGTAATTAATTATAAAACAATTCTATCGATTGACATTTACGTCTTGTAGACTGTTCTTAACTAAAGAAAGCCCTGGATTTCATTACCATTACAGGCAATCGATATTTTCAGTGTGCTTGCCCAACAGATTATGCTGGTTTACTGTGTGAACGTCGCTCTGCTGTCTCAGTTTGTGCCTCTAACCCTTGTCCAGCTAACTCAACATGCACTCATGAGGCTGGAAAATCTGATTCATGGAAATGCTTGTGTCCATTAGGGAAAATAGGACAGCGTTGCGACCAAGGTTTATAAATATATTGAAGCAAAATTTAAATTAAATATGAAGTTTTTAATAAAATTTCTGAGCTTCTACAAATACTAATACATATGCATTGCTTTGGGACATCTCTTTGACCTAGTATTGCAATCTAGCCCATTTAGTCCCTACTTTGGTGGCCAGTCGTATTTGGAATATACGGATAAAACAAGCGATTATTTTGCAGCATCTTCTGTCACAATTAATTTAAAAGTTAAACCTCTCAAGCCAAATGGGCTAATATTTTATGGCTCACAACGAGAAGACAATAGAGGAGATTTTATATTGCTGAACTTAGTGGAAGGTTATTTGGAATTTAGATTTGATTTGGGTTCCGGAACGGCAGTTATTAGGTAAAGTAAAAGAACTCCAACACAACTTACTTTAGGATTATAAATTAATTTGAAAGTTTCATCTTTAGTATGAATTTTATTCTTGGTTTTACTTGAAAAGAAAGACGATTTATTTGAATTTTAGGAGTGCTAGTCCGCTTACACTGAATAATAGTCATGACATTAATATCACACGAAATGGTCGTTATGGTACTATGAGAATTGACCAGCAGCCCGAAGTTAGAGGAATTGCCTCGGTAACTATATATTGCTATATACTAATTTGAAGCTTTTTGCGTATTATATCGCAACTGCGCTTCTAGAATTAATCTTCATAACGTTATAAATTGAGCTATGAATTTCTTATTACATAAACAGACCCTGCTGATGTAGTCCCTAAAGATGTAGTATACTTTACAGGATTGAACTGCAATGCTAGTTTCTCTAATCAATTGATCGAGCTGTATATTATTCATACATGAGTCTAAATGCACTTCAAATTATAGTAAAATTAAAATAACTAGTAAATTTTTAGTGTATATCAGGTAAACATCCACCATTGAGTACCACGGAAGATTAAAATATTTCAGTGCTTTTAATAGATGCAGCTATTATCAAATATTTAAATTGTATAAAGAATTAAACTAATGTATGTTCCGTAAATTTTCATAATCTTAAGATTTGGTGAATAAAAAATAAAGCCTATTTGTTAACTATTCGTGATAATTAAGCTACTTTTCAAAAGGATAACTATTAATGGTAGATTGTTTAATGTTCATGATATAATATAAACTCAATTATGCATTATTTGAACGAATCATTTTTTTATACATTTATTGTAATCAACATTGCTATTGACGCCTCTTAGCTACAGAGAGATTAGCAGTTTAAAAACTAGGTCTAGTAAATACTTTAGTATTTTTAAACGTTGAGCATTATTGGATCACCTTATAAGCATAACAAGTATAACTTTTTCGTAGGGCTCCTTCGTCTTGTTAAGTTTGTTTGCACCGTTTTACTTTGGTGGTCATCCGAATTTTGCTGCTATGAATTCCAAAACAAAGATTAAGACTGGTTTAGTAGGCTGTATTGAGTCGGTAATTACAAATAGAATTTATCTATTGAATAATATTTAAAGAAAATGAATTTCTCTTACGTTTTCAATTTTCGAAATAAAATCAATTGAAGGTCACTATTAACGGACAAGAGAAACAACTGGTTAAAGATGCTATATATGGTGCCGGCGTTAGTTCATGTAATGATTGCCAAAGAAAGCCGTGCCAAAATGGTGCACAGTGTAGTCTTGGTGTTCAGGGATATTTATGTAATTGCCCACAATATTATACTGGCGAAAATTGTTCACAAGCAATAGGTTTGGCAGATTTTAATAGGCTCCATCATATTATTTTAGCGCATACAATAAATGAAGTTGTATATTGGTAAATTGAACGTGAAATTCCATCTCGCCTTTTAAAAATATCAGTAAACTGATGTACATATATTACAAGTATACTTCAATAAATCAATGATGTATAATTACTTTTTAGAGGTATTTGGTCCCTCTGTAGCCTTCGATGGTGGCAACGTTTACACGCTAAGAAATAATATTTCGGCAGAGTTAGTGTAGTACCATCAATTTTACTCTCCTAAACTAGTAAATTCGCTGCATATTTAAAGCTATAACTATGATTTACCCTAATTTATTTATTCTATAATATAATTTTTCTAATAGTCAAAGTGTCTATAATAGTGACGGCTTTAATTGATTTATTCCTAATAGTGAAAAAGAATTTAATTTCAACACAATTGAATTACAACTTAAAACATTCAATCTTCATGGTCTTATTCTCTGGAGCGGCCCAAGGAACTACGTAAGAATTAAACTTCTACATTTCATATCATAAAATCGAATGTAGGCATTTCTTTTGCCTGTTATGGGAGTAAAGCTCTATAATAATTCATGCGGGTTAATTAAACTATCGATTGACTCGATGTAGTCCCAAAATCAGCGGAGACCTTTCATCGCTTTAGCCGTTACGAATGGAAATATCCAATTAAGGTAATTAATTCGACAACATGGATAGCCATACTACATTCAAGATTAGAAAAAATGATTTGGATATAGTTTTTATTTTAGAGTTTAATATGTACGATATCTTAGTAGCTATAAAATTGTGTTTAACAAACCAATATCATTTTTGTGCTTGTTGCTAATATTTAGAAATTAAATTCACAGTTAATGAAAATTATTTTACTAAAAGCACAATTCCAAAGACATCAACGGCTTCTTATGCCATAATCCCGTAAATAATGCCAAACTTTAGTACGGAAGTTACTGCCTTGAATTGATCTGAAAACCATAGATTGCCCTAAGACTATTTTTAAAAATTCTCTTAGTTATGCATAATAACGATAAATTGAGGCTATCCACTAAACTAGTGGCCTTTTCGGCTATAAATTACTAGTACGTAACCACCAACAGATATTTAAGGTACCAGTATCTATGAAAGGATAGATCTGTTGAATATAAACCGATAAACATTTCATCCATGTGTATTTCGAGATTTATGTATCTCGTATAATTCATGTATTGATCAGCTCGACTTCCTCTAACTAAAACACTAACATTTGTTACTACAAAGTACTTTCGTCATTAGAGAATAGTCCATAAAATTTCTTTCCTTGCGTACTAATATCATCTGTTGACTAGTTACTATTTTATAGTTGGAGATAATCCTATACAAACTCAAGATCTCTGCATCATTAGGCAATGCTCTTTTATTTTATTTTAGATTTAACCTGGGCACACAAGATAACCATATAACCAGCACGGTCCGCATCAACGATGGAAACTGGCATACTATTAAAGCTTACCGAATCGGTCGACAGGCAAATTTAACTGTAGATACAGAATTTCGTTCGACTACGGTATCAACTGGAAGTCCACAAATAGCGGTTGATGGCGATCTATTCTTAGGTAGATATTTATTGTATTCAATATCGGATATACTATACTATCCTTTATCTAAAGAACTTAATTTGACCAGTTAACGTTGACTTGAAATACTTAAATTTAAAATAGGTACTACAAGAATTTTATTTTAATCTATTATTATATAAATAATTGAACATGTTTCTACAATATGCATAACTAATATTAGTAAGGTCTCGAATTGATTACTTGATTCAAATACCTTAGCAGTTTACCATTATTAAATTGTCAATAGGTGGCCTAAATACTACTCCAAAGAAAAATTGGAATCTCTACCGCTATAATTATGTTGGTTGCATTCGAAATATTCAGATACAACATCATAAAGTCAATATTGTTACTGACCTAAAAGTTCCGCAACAACACACCACATGCGAAGGTAATAGACCTTATTATTTCTAACGATGGAATGTGACGAAATTTTTTTCAATTTGTAGCTGTAAGTTTTAAGATACCATATCTGCTGAAGTATGTCTGATTTCGTATTTTTTTATACTATCGCAAAGCATTTGAAGTCACAGGTCCTTCCCTTGCATTTGATGGCAGATCTGCTTATCCCTATTTAAATAATGTCGATAACAGGTAATAGCAATTATAGTCGTATAGTGACATATATTTATTTCCGTAGTTCTATCTTACCAAATTGCCAATGCATTACAAACAGCTTTTAAATTATGTCTATGTCATACAATATACTAACGCCGATTACTTGTTTCCAGATTGACGGTATCCAGTATACAATCATTCCAGTTATCTTTTAAAACACTATCCTCAAATGGTCTGATTTTATGGCACGGAAATCAGGTAGATCATTGATCCCTTATTACGATAAAATATAGATAAGATTACAAAAATCAGTTAAATTACAAGAATACGACAGCAAACATGCGAGGATTCTTGATTACTCTTATCCAATTGCTATAATTCCCTTCTTCTACCATATAAAATTATATTGTATGCAGCTATCATGCATTGCAAGTAATTATCGATATACACCTAAGGCTAAGTCATGCAAAAATTCTACTTCAACTTGCTTTGAATTTAGCGTTCGTCTACGACTATGATGCATCTTTCATTTTCTATTCTTAAACAGTAGATTTAGTATCGTAATAATTTGAATAGGCAATATGCAAATATACATTAAGTTGTCAAAGGACACTTTATTGCACGCTTAGATTGTAGTTAATACAACTGCTAAACGCATCTTGGAATGAAAACTGATTTTTATTTTTGTGCTTTTATATAGAAGCCTGGCGATTTCATAAGCGTCGGAATTCGTAATAAATTCGTGGAGTTGAAGTAAGATAGAGATCTACCTAGATCATGACGAAATGATTTTCTGAAGTGCTGCGAAATTGATATTATTATCAGCAATAGTACTATAATACTCGCACCAATACAACATTAGCTTAAACATATATAATATCTTCGATTCAAGTTATAACTTAGGAAGTGGAACAAAAACTCTCACTGGTGGCTGGCAGCAGGTTAATGATGACAAATGGCACAAGGTTTTAGTGGACCGACAGAGCCGATATGGTAATTTAACGGTAGATGGACGATCTATCACTGGTTTTGCAAACCCATCAGCAACGGAGCTCAATGCTGCAGATTATCTGTATTTAGGTAGACTTTGTTGTTTAAATAATTTCAGGATAAAGCAGACTATAGGATGGCTAAGAAAATTTTTGTAGCTGAGGGAATTACATTAATGCTAGTCTTGTTCGCTAAATTGGCTCAATCTTTTCTTTACTAATTAGAGAGATTCATGATTTCTGTGACTAATGAAATCATTGCATGATCGTATAATATTAAAGAAATTGCCGTAAGACACTGATATTATTTTTATTATTGCAAATCGTATCAACAATTTTACAGGCGGCGTGGAAAATATAGCAGCCAAAACATCAAACTTGTATTATTCATTCTATGAGGGTTGTGTAAAAGAAGTTAAACTGAGTGGAGTTTCACTTAACATGCAACGAGATATCCAAATCAGGCAGCGACTTTATACATGCCAACGTTAGTATCTACTCTATATCATTAAGCAGTAGAAGAACTTTTCACACGCTTTATGTAGCTAACTTGTGTACTATTTAATGAACATAATAGAAAACGCCGAATTTGGTCCAGCTTATTGGTTTACGCCAACATCGTACATTACCTTATTAAGCGCTGTCACTGAAAAGTTAGGCAACATAGTTAGATTTATAGTTGATTCGGGGACGAATGCCCATTTCCTCATAATTTAATATGCTAATATTAGAAAATTCCTTAGAATTTAAATTTATTAAAGTGTTAGATATTTCTCACGAATTAGCAAATCTGTAACTCCAAAAGACAATATTGCAGATTTGAAATCTTTAAAGATATAATGTTTCTGATTTCGGGCAATAGGAAAAACTCGTTTTCATCAAACCGTTACGAATTTCTTGTACGTGGATATCATAACGGATTGCTGTTATGGTTAGGCCAATCTCAGGTAAATCACACGGTATATGGTTGTTTCTACCCTATTACGAAATTTAAGTTCATAGCGTTTGTAATATCAAAGAGGGCTAGTAATGAACGTGATTTAGTTGATATTATCACGACGTAAGCTTCACTATCAATATTCGTTTTATTTTATTAATTGATTTTATGCGAATGCAACGCATCCGACAGCCTAACCCTAATAGAGACTATCTTGGGGTAGCCATTGTTAATAACAGAGTGCAATTAAGGTAAGACATCTACCCAATAAATCTTCGATTCAGTTCTCATCCTGTTCTATTTCGTATTACTCCTTTAGTGGCAGTAATTATTATCTCATCATTCTTCAGATTCAATGTTGGTTCTGGGAAAATCGAAATTGTCGTCGATGTCATCGTTACCGATGGCTATTGGCATAAAGTCAAGATTGAGCGAAATGGATCTTCAGGAACTTTAACTGTCGATGGTGTATCACAAAAATCGAACCCAAGAGAGGGAGCTTCCGTCCTCAATGTAGACGGCAATATTCTTATTGGTAAATCTATAATAGAGAATTAAGCGAAATTATCGTGTTGATGATGGATCACTATGGAAATCTTAGTGTTATGACATATTGTATCGCTAGGAAGCTACATTATAGTGTTGCTATAGTTAGTTTAACTATCGGAATAAGTGCTAGTACAAAATTTATATAAATGATTAACTATTTAACTCATAGGGGGCACACCGAACATAGCTACTACAACATCCAATAAGTATCTAGAAAACTATCGTGGTTGTCTAAAAAATTTCGTAATTGATGGTTTTGTTGTCAATTTGCAACTTATGGCTACTGAATCAGTTAATACCAAGTCATGTCCAGGTTAGCATAAGATATACGCATTTACAAAAGTATTAGCTGATCGATGAAATCTCGTGGCATACTTTATCACTAAATTTTTTCATAGGCTATGAACCACCAGTATCGTTTAGTGGATCAAAAGCAGTTCGTTACTTATCGGATGTCAATCGTGGGTAAATTTTTCAATTATGATAACAATTACTCATCGATACTTAAGTGTAGGCTGCAGTGATAAAGCTCTATATTAATAGTTTTAAGGATTACTTGTCAAATTTGTATAACTGTACGTAGTTGTAAGTTTCCAGCCTGTATTTATGATCTTGAAGAACTAAAGATCTAGTATGTAGGGTTTGAAACCTGAAATGTGCTGCATTAAATGAAATAGTGACATCTAGTATATTTTTAAGATTACGTGCATTCCGTCAAAATTCTTTGCGCTTAACTTTCAAGACAAGGAAATCAACAGCAGTCCTGTTTTGGCTCGGAAACGATAATGTAAGCCCTGATATCTTCTAAAATTCACCGATAGGTACCATATTTAAAATATAGGCTACGATATTAAACTGCTTTATGTTCGAATCGGTAGGATCCTCGATTGAGATCAGATTATATGTCGGCAGCTGTTGAAGCTGGCTATTTTAAAATCAGGTATTTACATTATCAGTGTTAACAGAATTAATTTACGGCATGGCCTATACATTCTTGTCGAAATTAAATCTACAGCCACTTTCTAGCAAATTACGATTAATATCGACACGTTGGAGATTTTTCGAAATTGCAATTAATATTGTAGCATTGTAGATATTGCATTTTGATCATGTTCCATTTCTAGATATAATTTAGGTGGTGGTGCGACTTCCTCTACAATATTAACTTTAAGAGTTGATGATAATCAATGGCATACTGTTTACATTAACCGAAATCTAACAAATGCTCTTCTGTATGTCGACCATTTGGAGACATCTGCAATATCGCTTCAATTTCAACAAGAATTGAATGTCGCAAGCTATTTCTATCTAGGTGAGGTGTATACGTAATATTTAAGTAAGTCTTACCCATTTAGTTAAATATGATTGGAAATCCGGCTAATATTTTAACTTAAGATATTTATAGATAATGTAAAGTAATTAATTTTCCATATCGTTAACTGAAGCAAAAGATTTCAGTTGTTGTACATTCTAGGTATACAGTATATTGAACGTCTTCTATATTAAACTAGGCTAATATTTGTTTAAGAAATGAAAATACTATGTAAATTTGTAAACATCGGTTAAGACTGATAACTTCGCTCTGTTATAACTAACCTAATACTTGTGTTAATTCTTTACTTTTTAAAATATTGCAGGTGGTGTTCCAGAAAATAATATAGACTATACTAGTAATGATAATTTCATTGGCTGTATGGCAAACGTAGAAGTAAATGGCAAGATAGTACAGTTATCAGATGATGCTGTTGATCCAAATATTTCCCTTCCTAGATGTCAATAATATTTCTTCTATAGGTTACTATTGTTTCGTAGGTTAAATCGTTACAATCAATCTTTAGTTAAGTTTGCTATTATTAATTTTCATTACTGCTTTGCAATACTACAAAAATTGATTAAAATTAATACAATATTTGTAACAAAAATGTCATGAAAGTAAAGATCTGTTAAAAGATATTAAATAAATACACTTTCTTACATAGAAAATTTTGTCCACTATATTCCTACAATCATCCACAAGGGCTGGATGAATAATTTTGATACTATTTATTTGGAGCTTGCGTTGCAGGTCAAGGTTTCTAACAAGGAAATTTAAAACTATGACTAGCAACTATTATTCTACATTAAAAACAAGGAGTTTGTACACTATAGCACAACGAGTAATACTTATTGAACAAAATTTTTTCTCTATCTGGGTCATAAACCATCAGCTATATCGCACATATGTAATTGAGAACTTTGTGAAATTAAAAAGCAATCCAGTTTCAATAAATTGTGGCCGTAACATTGCTAAGGTGCTCGGGGAGCTTAAAGTTAAATTGTTATGGCTAGCAAGTTGGATATAATAAAAATTGTAAAATCAGCCATGATTACCGCGTAGATCATGATGGCCTTCATTGCCAATTGCATAGGAGAGCTATAGCATTGAATAATAGCTATTAATATTGCAACTATTCAACTGTCATGTTTTAAGATCTTGCCGCAAGAGCATTTTAATAACAGAAAAGTTCTTGATGACTTGATATAAAGAGAATAATCTTTACTTTAATTAATGTAATCTGTCTTGCATAAATTCGTAATTTGAATGATCATCAGGATCTTGATGTTGCCAAAGTGAAAATTAAAGAGATTAGGATCAATTAGTCCCCGTTGCTTATAAATGATAGGACTTACTAATATTGAATCCGTTATACTCCTAGATTGAACTTTTTAGGAAAAAATTTTATTTACTTTTATCAGTATTAGCCTTTCTAACTGTTTTAATCGTTTCTTGCTTCAATAAGAAATTATTAAGGAATTATGCCATAGAGTTCTAAATGTTTGTAAAAGAGAAAAGTATCAAATTCAATGTAAAATTAGCATGGCGATGTGGCCAAGCATAGATTATCATAATGAGAATGTATTATGTTTTTATGATATAAATATGCTAATCTCAGTTTTGCAGAAAATTATAGTAATCATAGCATTTTATTTTCATTCTAAAGCCTGGTGGATAATAAGCAATATTGACTAAGAGAAATAACGAAGCTGCTTATATACTCTACTTGTTTACATCAAGTAGAGTATATAAGCAGCTTCGCTATTTCTCTTAGTAAGTTCTTGCATCTCTAGATCTGTATAAATTGTTTACCGTTACAGTTCTACTAAAACATAGACTCTAAATAAATTTTTATCTAGCTAGACCGCGTTTATGCCAAGAGACTTCGTTACAATGTACTAGCATAAAATATTTATGAGAGATGAAATCATTCCGCACACACACTGTTTTAAACTTGACTATATCGGGTCGATTACTAAGCAAAATAGTTACAATGCCATTCATTGACTACGGTATAATTTTAATAATTCTAATAGTACTTTAATAGTAACAATGTTGTATCAACTCATAGAGGTATATAATAGATTTACAGAATGAATCATTCATTTTAAACATCTATGAATATTCTTAACTTCAATATTGAAGAGTAATAAAATGATGGAGATTTTTATTTTTTTGCATTTTTTATGATCATAAACTGTTATACTCTCATGCAATATGTTTACTTTTACGTCTAAAGAGTAAAGCTACTATGAAACATATAATAATATTTTTAACCTTAATTAAGGTAGTATTGGATCGCTTGAAAATTTAAGTAATCTTTTAACCTTTACATAGATATCAATAGAGCAAGCGTTGTATGTCTTAAGATGTAAAGACAACTATTTAAAATATTATACTCTAATTATTAGTCTCACATAATGTGTATAAACCTTCAGAATAAATACGATATATGATAACAATCGAAAATCATACATTTCAATTTTATAACTTTTGTAACTGAATACCGATAAACTGACAAGAGCAAGTTTATTATTATAGGGAGTACGGATATATCGGCTAATATTTTGATTCAGCACTTGCATGCTGGGCTAGGCTTTCAACACTGGTGTTAAGACAATTACTTCAGTAGTTATAATGCTATTAAAAGTAGCTTTAGCTGAAGGTAGCAAAATTTTCTTAAAGCAAGCCGCTTGACAAGTAAGAGCCATGAACACATGACAAAATTAAGATTAGGGTAATCAGAAATCTGAGCTTATATCGTTAAATGTCTTAGATTATTATCTAGGTAACTCGGTTTTACATCGATTAGATTTATATTAAAATGTTATAAAAATGTTAATAAGAAACATTAATGCCAAAATAGATGCTACGATGACAGTATTCGGACGATTAGCATAAGCATCAGCAATATAAACTTGATTCTGTGGTAAGAGGACGTAAGAACCGGCACTTTCACTAGGGTAGATACTGCAGTTCAATGATGCTTTAATAGTCACTTGCACCTGCGCTGGTAAACTAAATTAATAGCATAATGAATAAAAATGATGTTCAAATCTTAGGCTACGTGTGAGGTTGATAGATCAAGAATCTTCAAAACTTTAGAAAATTAAGATTTATAGAACAAAGCCTCGTTTACGAAGATACAACGTAATCGATTAGCTGAGGACCTCTAACGATAAAGAACTATCTTATTATACTAAACTATTTGCTTATATACTTTTCCGCGTTTACAGTCTTAGCACCTTACTTACTACACACTTCAGTATTAGCATCTCAAATACAGGATAGTTTACACCTTTCATGTGAAGCTCTAGTGAGAGCTCTGTAGTGCTCCTCTTCAAAAGGATTACAGTTACTAAGCTAGCTATATTTAATACTTAAGCCGCTAACGAGAATATCTATCACATATTGAACACAATATCTACGATGGACATTACTAAATATATCCTCAATTTAGAATACAATATTACACTGTCTTACACTATGATAAGTCGAATTCATTCCGTAGGTCGGTCAAAACTTATATTTACACTGCACTTATTACTGATACACAGACGTACTGGAATGCGAATTAGCTTAGAATAAGGAAAATGATGAAATGATCTGAATCTAGATATTTCTTAAAGTATTAATTTGACTTCATGTCTAATATACATACGTTGCATGATCGAAGCAACACCTTTCACTCAAATTGGTAGTGATAGCAATGATAAAAATTAAATTTCCATTCTTATGTGAATGAACATGCCGGCATGTAATAAACTGCGATGGTGAAATGTCTAACTTTCTAAGCCTATGCATGAGTGCAGCGTCGATCTTTTCTATTCTATACCGTAACGAAATTAAGTTAATAACTGTCGAGGAAGAGCGATACATATTGACATTAAAATTAATATTTAGAGAAAGACCGATGACTATCCATTAGAATAAACACTTTACTACTCATATAACAAGTAAATATCGAAAGCTTTTAAACTAGAATTAAAATTAATAGCTTTAGATTGAATCTGATAACAATGAACTGGAATAAAGATAACTGCAGACGCTTAATCATTATCTTTCTATACCAGTTTTAAACTATACTAGCATTGTGGAGAGTAGCAGTCTAAATTATCTGTAAATTTGGTCAGAAATATCTAGAAGACTACGTCAATTCGGCACTATAGTTAAGATTAAAAGGATAGCTTCAAATTATGATGAAGTGCTATTTGTTATCGTAATGTTGGTTAATCTGAATCCAGCGTATAAAACTGTTATATTCTTCTAGAGCAACAACCTTACTTAGAAAGATGACAGTACAATATTATCTTATCATATAGAACCGATTACTGTATCATCTATAAATAGCAATAACTAATCCATCATTTAGATACTTGACACTTTTTATACTTTTCGAAGAACAGTAACATCAGTGTGCCATTTGAAACCATGATGAGCGTATGGAAATATAGAATTCTGCGATATACGGGGTTACATACTTGAACATCTACGATACTTTGCGCTACTAGCAATCTATAGTGAGTAAGAATTAAAAACGAGCACGAGCAAAATAGGAGAAATGTTGAATCGTCATGACGTTAAATGATAATGGAAACTAGATGGTCACTAGAGAGAACGAGAATAGCATCGATAGCCTGAAATTGTAAGATATTATATGATGCTTCTGTTAGTGTAATCTGTACTTCCAAATTATTAGTCATACGACAACACGATTTGAGTATATCTGAGAAACATGTATATCATTCTCCTTAATTTAACATTTTTCCATTAGTAATAAATTCCTAACATCATTAATGAGGATAATAATTATATTGAAAGTCCAAAATTATAGGGCGTGAGATGCTACAGCATGAATTACTCTAATTAATCGTTATCCAACGTTATTCAAATGACTATAATGATTAACTGAAATCAGTCATTACAGTAAATGAACATTTTTAGCAAACAGTTACATGCGAAAAATTACTCGAAAGAAAGATTAATGACTGCATTGCCTTAATTATATAACGTAAGATAGACGCTTGTAAATAAACTGCTGTATTCCTAATGCTGCCGTACTTCATATATATTACAATTAGATGCAAGAAATAAACTTGCCTTACAAGTATAATTTATAGTACAGAAACATATTTTGCACCTTTATTATTATATTTTATTAATTTACAAATTAAAAATATCCATTAAACTTACCAATTTATGAAGTTCTTACAAACGCTTTGTGTTAATGTGGTTAGGAGTAAAGTCTTATTAGGTGAACAAAATGGTATTACGCCACATTCCAACTGCATGGCTGTATTAATGCAGGCATCACTTACTTTTTTAGATTTCAAGTATTTTTTAAGTGCCGTCGCACCATTATCTTGAAGTACGGGTTCGGCTACCAGAAATTTAGGTATAAGAACAGCATTAGGTGCATTTGGGCATGTTTTATAGCTGTAACTTGGAGGTTTAATGCAATCGTTGAGGTAAAATTTCCCGCGGGGTATATAGTCACATAAATGGCCTTTTTTAATATTATCACGGATAGATTGAGGACATTTTTCATCAGCATTGATGCAATTCGAAGTGTTAAAGCTAATTTCGTTACGCACTCGATCACATCTTGGAAACATAATGTTGCAATATAGACCTTTAATATCTCGAAGGCAGGCCTGAGAAGCAGACACAGATGGGCTATTTTTGATCCCATTTACGATTGTTTGAGCGGCTCGATCAAGAGCTTTAGCGTCGCGCTGGGCATACTCAGGTACAGGATAAGAAACATCACAGAAAGGAGCATTATTACCGACTGCAGCACAAGTAGTTAATGATCCAGCGGAATAAGCTTTAATCATGTTCACAGCCCTCGTTAAGCGATCGAGCTCTGAAGCTGACGATAGTACTGCAACCTTATCAGATTGATATATGATATACATTAACTTAATTTTGTTATTATACACTTGATGTTAGAAGTGGAAGTTTTATTCGGTAACTAAATGATTCTCATTTTCTAAATAATTTTCTTTATTCTTTCTGCTAAACTAGCTAGACCTGATTATGAATTATTTCACTATTGAAACTTACCTGCGCGATAATTAAGGCAGCTAATATGGAAGAAGTAATAGCTCTCATCATAATGATTAGTTGTGGAGGTAATTGATGAAAATAGGCTTAAACTGGTAAGAGAAAATTGCTGCAAGTCATCAGTAAAGCGCAAGTATTTATAACGTTCTTTAGCTCAGCTTCATTAGGGAAATAGATCACATGATGTAGACGTGATAACCAATTTTACACCAATTATATTGCAAACGAGGATGATTAATTAAATAAAACAAACGTAGCATTAAGAATAATTATCTCTGAATGCCAACTTCAAGTAATCTGATATTATTCAAGTATTATTGGTTGTCCCGCCTACTATACATTATCCTTTGCAGTGGGAGAATAAAAGGTTCTATTAAAACTGTCTTGTGATTACATAGCGGCAAATTATTACTAAGTTTTAGGCATAAACTACTACGACCTTTAATAGTACGTTAATCTTAATAGAATTGCCTTCTGAGGTCTTATGACTATCAGCTGAATTTTAGCTTATGATATTCGAAGACTTGTTTCGTGACAACCTGTTAGATTGCTGGCAAAAACTTTTGCTAGGTAATAGAATTTTTCGCATTATTTAATGGCCAAAATAATGATTACCTTTAACCTCAGAATTATAGAAATCAGCAGTATGCATGCACAATATGTAATGTTACACATAAGTAGCATTAAAAGTTTACGATGCATATAATGAAATATAGCTCACACGAAGCATTACGGGATATTCTACAGCACTACTCTACATGAGGAACGTAACATAGTATTGTATTGTAGACTATCGGCAATGTTTAGTATAATATACGGTATAGTAGCTTTCTGTATTTATCACAAGCCTTATTTAGTAATTCTTAACCATAAATTATAATGGAAGATTCTGCATTAGAATACAGATGACTATGTACGATAGGGTGTTGAGTTACTATTGATACTAAACTGAAAGCTATCGTTAAAAATGGCTATGTAACTCATGTATTAGGTCATGGGTAGTTCATCGTATTTTGGACTGTAGAAATAATGTTGGCGTCAATGCTGTGGAAGTTATCTTATTAAATTTTAGATGATCTGTTGTAAAATGTTGTTGCCAATAATAATCTGAATAATTGTAAAAAAAGGTATATAATGATTTCAGCTAATTACAGTAGTTTTGTGTAAGGGAATACTGTGATACTACGGCACATAATTGATACTGCTATGTGGATTGTAGCTGCAAATGCTACGAAAAAAATTTAAGCAGGCAACTTTAGATTATGCAGCAGTACTATCTAGAAGTCTTTTTTAGTAGTTTTATTCGGTTAGAGTAGAGTTGTACGTAGATTTATCCTTGTACAAAGATCTAGTAAAGTTCTGATTTTCTATAAATTTTGTTATTTTGTGATCGGTTTTATCACAATATAATTTTCGATATTTAGTATTAATTAAAGCACATTAGATTTTGTGCTATTGAATAACGTGATAATGGTAGTGAAATTTGCTTTGCAGGCTATTAAGAAAATTCATCACTTTTGAGAGTAGATATATGGAACTGTTAGATTTCGACACTTCATGCTTGTAATTTAATTCCAGTTTCAACTTACTAACAATTATAATTTAGTAATTATGTAAACTTAATCGATTTACGCGTTATTTTTCTTTCGACTTTCGATATACGTAGATAGACTAGTATACGTATCTATTTTCATAATGCTTAGTTAGTTTGCAATATTTCAAACGAAATATTGAATAAGGAATATTCTGGTAGCATCTGTAATGAAAAAGTTGAAGCATACACATCTTGTAGAATGAAATTAGTCATCGCAAAGTTATGTTTTCAGCCAAGGCAATAACATTCTGTAAGAGCTTTTGATTAGTTATTGTTAATGTTGTAAATAGACCAACAAGCTTAGCCATGTAACATAATCCGAACTAAAGATTTCCAGCTCATATTTTAAAATAGAATTGTTGATTGGAAAGCATCGCAATGTAAGCATCAAGTTAATTCGAAATGATGTAAAAGAAATACGATAGCCCAATGCTAGCTTATAGGAACATTTGAGTAGATGCCTAACAAGTGTTGATGTTATTTTAAGGAGCAAGATTTCATGCAGAAATAATCTAAAGGATTGCATTTTTAGGACACAAATTTATGTAGAACTGTTGATCGGAGAGCTTTGGGGCTAGAAATAGAATCAACTAACTGACATAAAACTGAATAGTCATATTGGAAAGTTTCCACATTTACGTGCATTAATGGAGAGTTGCAGGCCGTAATATTGACATTACAAATTAGTGGATTTTATGTAATAGAAATGAGAACTGAAGTTAAAATGTTGATTTCATCATCTGTAATAATAGTAAATACAAGCTCCAATACTAAAAGGTCACAGGCATATTTTTATGATCTGGTAATGGTATCAAATGATAATTTAAGTCAATGGTCAAGTCATAGTAAATTATAAATTTTCTGTTTAGATAATGTTAAAGTAATAAGTGTTAAAAAAATGCTGTACAAAATTATCACCATACTTAAAATTAAAGAAATAGAAGAGTTTTTTTTAATTCGCAACTGACATAGAAAATAATCTATGGGTATCGGTTGATGAAGTATTGCTAATAGCTACGCTGATTTAGTATATAACTTATGTGAAATATATGTTAGATTCAGGTCGTTTTTATATTACTATAGCTAAAGGTTACAGTTTTGTGAATAGAACATGTAAACTTCCTTAGATAGCTACATCTGCTACTTAAGTATTAGAAATTAATAACCTAAAGCAAAACTATAGTACCAAACTAACAAATATTACAGTACTCGCAATATGAGTAGCTGCCATACTTTCTTAAAGATAGCAAATTTTAAGATTTACCTATAATAATTGTTACGTATTATCCGAAAATTTCAGAAATAGAATAGTATTCGCGATGGAAAACGTAAAGATAGAAATTTAGGTCACTCACCCATCACGATAGGATTACTACATTGACAAAAATCATAAAAGTAGTAATTAATGTAGCTATAATGATTTGACTTGGACTATTATTGTATGATTTGCTGGTATAAGCTGTGCCTGATGGCACATTATAAGCCTTGCTGACATTCGCATCTGGAAAGATGCTGCATTGCAAATTATATTTCATAGCAGCTTGTGTGATTGGCTGTAAACTAAGAGATATAATATCAAATTAGTACCGTGCCCAACATTCTTATAATTACTTGTACATGGTGGACTATATCTATACATATTTTACTATACATATTTTGCATTAGCAATTAAAGGATATGCTCTTGCTCTAAAGGTACAAAACACACGGTAAAATAAAAGATTAACTTTATTGTTTATCCTTTTACTATAACTATTTATGATAGCGTTTTGATACGGGCAAAGCATTGATAATTCAGTAAATTGGACCTTAACTACAAATTGATAATTAAGCTATTACAACTCTACTTACCATGAAAATGAGGATTGACATTTTCCGGTGGTAGCTGTGGTTAACAACATAGTTCTATCTTGCGAACAGAATGGAATATCAGCGCAAAGGAAATCAACAAAACTTTGGATACATAGCTTATTGTTGCCTTGAGTCTGCATAAATGATCGTAAATTTGGTATAGAGGTATCTACTAGGAGGGGATCCATAGTTAAATATCTCGGTATTAAAACATTGCTTGGAGGGTTAGGGCAGTTTTTTAGATTGAACGAAGGAGGTTTAATGCAATCATTCAGGTAGAATGCTCCTTTTGGTATTACGTCGCAGTTTATGTAAGACGGAAGGATTTTTTTCACACTGTCGGGACAATTATTATAAGAGTTGATGCAATTGCTAGTATTGAAGCTAACTTCATTGCGTTTAGAATCGCAACGTGGGAAAAGGATACTGCAATATGTGTTTTTGATATCATTGACACAAGCAGCAGGAGCATTGAATTGTGGTCCATTTTTAATGTAATTCACTAAAGCCTTGGCTGCGACTACAAGTCGAGTGGCGTCGGTTTTAATAACATTAGGGACTGGATAATTCACACCACAATATGTAGCAATATTACCAATATTGGCGCAGGAGGTCAATGAATTATATGAGTAAGCTTTAACAGTTGATCTTTTTCCCCTCTTAGTCGGTGATAAAGTATTAACATCCTAAATTAATCAACAAAAAATATCAGTTTATTAAAGATGACACAAAATCAGTCAGCTAGAATAACAGATGAAGATTAAAGTCATTACGATCACAACTATTCTATGAATGCATATGTTAAGGATTGACCTTAACACATACATAAAATTAACCTTGTGTAATGCCGAAACACATATGAATAACTCGAAAATTATAGTTACATGCAAATTATTGCAAGAATAGGGTCGATGACCCACCCAGTTGATGTTTTACGACAAAGAAAACGTAAGAAATTAGTAAACGCACATATTTTTAGCCAATCTTAGTTTGGATAGCATTTAGCTAGCGATTGCTCGGTGTTCAATTTCATCAGTAACATTTATAAACATTATGAAATATGCAAGTGTTACAGTGCTGTACTCTGTAATATCGAGATTATAATACAAACATCTATGTTAGGATAATTTTGTTAATTTACCCTTATGTGAAGAGTTTCTAATTTAGATATGTGATATTTAAATATAGTACCAGCTTTTATGATGATATATACAGCCTACTGAAATTAGTAATTTAATTAGGGAATCGAGAATAATCTTCTTACAATTCAAATCACTGTGATTGTAATTTACTTATGGTAGATAGTAGATTATCGTAGAAATGTTCCGTGATAGGACATATTATAATCTGACAATTTTGTATCAGCCATTCGATGTCTATGTTCGTAAATGCTATTGTCTTCATTAAGTAGCAGTAGATACAATTAGCTTTTGATTCATTATCAGGTTTCAACATTAATATTACTAACTAGGATGTCTTTGCTATTGTAAAAGAGTATATAAATGCGATAAATCGTATAATATAGTTACTTCTTATGATTAGTGTTTAACGTAAGATACGAGGCGTCTAAGTCTTTTTGTAGTCTACTAGTATAGGAAAATAGTTTCTAATAGAGTAGATACTGCTCCCTGATACGTCGTTCAGGGAATCGACTGGTTGATCGTTCATTAAGTTATCTTGTTGTAAAGCTGTTTTGTAACGACAAGTAATAAATAGAAAGATAGAAACTGCAATAGTATAAAGTGATTTGATACTATAAATATATGAGTACTATGTGTGTTCAAGCAACATCTTGTTACAAGATTTTAGTAATCTCTATTGAATTTGTACTTAAAATGAACTAACAAGCGTGCATTTTGTTCTACACTTGACTTCAATTTTAAATAAAATACTTGCTTGTATAACAAATTTGTGTCAGGACTATCATAGACCATAAAAATTAAATTTGAAAGTCTACAGGTCAATATGAGATCAAAGACTTTATGACCCATAGATGGTAGCAATAAATTACAATTGACCATTAACCCTCGACATTTGGATTTATTACTGAAAATGTGAAAAATCGTTAGACGAATTACTACAAATTGAAAGCCAAAACTATAAAATTAGATTGCTTTCGAGACTGATACAAAACCTACCGTATTCTATCATTTAAATAGTCCAATGTACTATCATATAAACAGCGAAAAAACTCTCCTTGAAATCTTTCTAAACATATAAGTATAACCTTTCAAAGCAGTATAAGGAATAGTTTGTCTTCGATACCTGGATTAAGGACGAGAAAGCCATTATTATCGTGATCCAAAGCAGTTGAAACTTCATTTTAATCTTTTCTAACAATGGTTATAATTAGAGAAATCGAACTCGGACTCTGTGGTTTTTAAAGTATAATGTTAATCTCCGTAATTGAAGTTGTACCCCAACTGAAATATTTGAAAGATATATTTTTTCTCTGAAGGCTTATATGTTATCTCATTATGCACTATGGCACCCTTATTCATTTTTCATTGTGCACTACGGCACCCTTATTCATGAACTATTTGTTATTGAAAGTAATTTTTACTTAGATAAGTAGGCGGATGTACAATTGCGGGTAACGTTCTTTTCTTCTGTCATTATATTAAAATGATAATGAGGTAGCCTACTTATTATGCGAGAAAACGACAATGTACTAAAAGTTAATTTAATTTTGGCAGCTACCCGATTATTACACTAACATAAATGCCTTAATGGTGTTGCTGGGACATTATTCATCTATGCGATGGCGTCGTATAAATCATCATTGATTATATAGTATTAACAGAACTTTGCTAAGGTTTGTTAGCATGTAATGATTTCAACTGTAACATGTCAAATGTTAAGATTGGTAATAGATTATGTGTGCTTTGCAATCTAGTATGGATGTTTTTATAATGCAAAATAAATCAGCTCTACATGATTGACATCTGCAATATAATGATATCATCATATTTTGAAGTAGTTCCTTTACTACAAGTAACAATATTTATTATCTTATTCATTTGACTAGATTTGCTTCATGAAAGCTAATTTCATGCTTAGTTGGCTACTATTGCTATCTAAAATAGATATACTGTAGGTCATAGGTTAAGTATATTTTTAAACATCGTGACTGGCATGTATCATATGGTACAAGTGCTCTATAGCTGCTATTTCATAGAAAAAAAATTTCTTTACAAAGAGCAGTCTGAAATCACGAGTTAATCATGTCCTGAAGCCTGTAATTGAATAAATTATTTATGACTGTAGCAATAACCGAATTGTATCTGAATGTTTAAGATTTCATTCGCTGTAATATTATATTTACGTATTGACAAACTGGAGAGATACAGTACATCAATAAAGACATAATTTAAATTTTCAGTAATTTTTACTGTCTTTTTTAGAATTTTAGTCGGTACGAGATTGAGAGTAAATAATACGGGCAATATTTAACATTCATATTCTGCTACGATACTATGACCTTAAAATCATTTTAAATTATGTGTTACCGTATAAGTTTTGAATATTTACATTTATTTAGTCTCGGTGTTCAGCACATATTGCGATTAGTTAAGTATTTCTAGTAACTTGCAGTAAGTACAATTGCCGTTGAAGTACCTTCTCTTTTGGAGTTAAAGCAAATTATAGTTCTGATGATTAGCCTTAGCCTGCACACGTTTAATTATATATTAGTACAAACTCCCGTCGCCGTAAAGTAATGAAATGAAGCCGGCTTTACGTATAAAGTTGGTATTAAATACATATATAGATGTAGCTTATATAGCAATTAGTTTTTTTGGTTAATATGGACTTAATAATACCTGCTTGAATAAGATAAAATGTTTTTCGCTAGAAACTTTACCGGTATCATTTTTAATAGTTGACTCTTGATATTAGAAAATTAGTAAACGGAATGTAGTTAATTTGTCTAAAATTGTAGTTTCCAGTGTGCTTATGCATTTACAATGATATAACGGTATTTTAGATATCAGCTCTAAATGGTGTAATTATAAATTTGTTTGCAGTCTCAGAATAAATAAGAAGCGAACTTAAATTTTAACAATTTATATATCTAATAAATTTATTTCAGTAAGGTTTGAATTTATAGTCATGACGACATTCACCTTGATGATCTTTCATTGGAAGTACAATTACAGGATGCATCTTTACAAATTATTAGCTTTGTATAGAAAACGATGACTCTTTATAAAAAACAGTTAATTGTTAAATGAAAACAAGCTTTGTACAAAATTACTCGATGTTACATCTGACAATTTAAAAAACTGATGGTAGTTTTAGATATTAGAAATATTATATGCTCATATTACAGCTACCAAAATAAACTATGTACAAACGTGAAATTAAGCTACTAAATCACAAAATTTACAAGTTTAAGCATATTAACACTTTTGTGTCGTAACCTAATTGGCAATATTGTTATAGTTGTAACAGTAATTAAATTGTTAAGCCCACAGTGATACAGCTTATAATCATACATGACGAAGAATTATCAACTTAAAGACTCAAAAAGTACTACCTTAAAATTCAATTTACGGTATTTTCGATAAAAGTTGCTGTACATTACCATACTGGTTCTCAGTTTTGAATGAATTCAAAGTCTATTATCCTGTAAAAGACTACAATCCGAAAAGTTAATTAATCTGGATAGTTAAAAGTTGTTTAAATTGTCGATGCCTTCGGCAATCAAGTTGCAACCGATTTCGTATTTATTTAACCTAAATGTTGCCGAATGTTTCATCGGAAAAAATCGTGAATAAATTAATAGTTATTTTGACTTTCAAATGTTCTATTTCTAAGCTAGCTATAGTAGACTATTCAATATTAAGCATTCCAATAAACTTAATCACTCCAGAAGAATGGTATGGAAACACAGTAAAGTTATTGCAAGGAGTAACAAGGCATTTATATTCAAATGTAGAAATTGAGCTCTTCCTACGAATGTATAATCGTGAGAAATGTGGATATGATGACTGGAAGCATTCGGGTATTGATTACATTTGAAAAAGCTCTTGAGGTCTGTTTGTAGACTTTTTGGAAGGCTAATAAAAAATTGAAATTCTTCAGTGAAAATTAATATAGATAAAAGTACTTTATTTTAAGAATGATAAGCTGAAATAGTGTAAGTGTATAAACTAAATATAATAAGTCAGCTAAGTGAAATACTTATCAACATTTTGTCACTATTAAGAACTATCGTTAATTTCTTAGCAATTGATTGAGATATTTTAAAATAAAATTGTCAAGCTTTAAAACTAAGTATATACGTAGTGAATTAAAATCAATACGGATGAAAAGGAATAAGCAGGAACTTTACCAGTGGAATCAAAAAGTAATCTATGAAAGACTTACCAGTTTACAGCATTATAGCACATTTCTTTGGTCACTGTTGTCATTAATGATTTCTTATCTGGGGAGCAGAATGGTATCGATTGACATAATAAATTAACATAATTTTGAATACATTGCTCTGTAGCTCCTTTATCCCTGAGGAGATCCACATCATATGTTGTGGCTACATCGACTAAAATTCGATTCAGTATTAGATATTTAGGTACAGTAACAAGATTTGGATTACTAGGGCAGTGAAGATAGCTGATAGTAGGAGGTTTCACGCAGGTGTCCAATTCAAAATTGCCATGTGGAGCAAACTGACATAGTTTAATTCGTCGAATAACACTGTTAACTACCGATGAACATGCTCCAGTAGCCTCATAACAGTTGGTTGTATTAAACGTAATTTGACTTTTACTGGCATCGCAGCGCGGAAATACTAAACCACAGTACAAATGTTTAACATTTTGAACACATTGATCCGACGCTTGAATATTAGGAAGATTAGTAATAACCATCAGAATATGGTATATAACTAAGGTTAATTCTGGAGCGAGATTGGCAGAACTCGCCGCCGTTTTATAATTAAGCCCACAGTAATTAACAGCTGCTTGAGGAATCTGCTTGCAAGACGCGATCGATCCAAAAGGATATGCATTAATGGAAACTAAACCAGATGTTGATTTTTCAAAGGAAGATGAAGCAGTGACCTAGATATAAAACGATTAGAATAACGAACTTTAAAATCGTGCCAGATTTTCATGCTACAGTATTATCATCATCTTCCAACATGAGATGATGCTATTCTTGATCTAAAGTTGTCATCACTTAATCTTGCACAGTAAGCTAGTAATTGATTAATAAAAGGCCATCAATGTGATTTAGCTAACCCTTACTATACCTTAATATTACGTAAAATGGTTAAAATAGCGATGAAGGCATAGAATTGACTAAGTATTAATCGCATTTTCTCCTATTCTTCAATCCGGCGATGTTGATGTTAAAGAAATAAATAACTCTGATGGCTTGAAGAACTGCTTGCTTGCAATTTATGTCCGTTGGCTTAATTTCACTAATAGCAGGAACAGCTATGTATCAAGTTAGTTGATATTGGAGGAAAATTTTCGTTAATAAATGGGTAGTTAGTTATAACTCCAATCTTTGATTATGCTAAATGCCAAGTTGAACGTAGTTGTAGTTAATTAATTATAGCATCAACTCGTGATATGATGATGACGTAAATGACGATTGCGTATCGTTACGAGTACAACTTACGGTACCATACTGTGCTACACAGTATTATACGCTATCAGGTGGTATTACGCCCCCATAAGCAGCAAGCGATTCTGCAATCTGCGTGCACAAAACGCTAATTACGGTTGGTAATCAATGAATTAATTAACTAATTAATCAACCGCCTCGGGAATAGACCTGAAAGTGGTTGGATTAAAGGTATCGTAGGATGATAAGTAACATCTGGCTATTTTACTGTATATCTGCTAGATGTTTTCGCATAAGTAGACTCTATGCTGGTAGTACCACACACTGAAATATGCTACTAATTGATTAATAACCTTGCTTATACAGGAATTTATGTAAATATATATCTACATTCGCATATGCATGAAGTTATGCAAATACTTTAAAGCTATAAAGCTATCGTACGATGATAAGTGACATCTGGCTCTTCGACTGTATAATAGTATTAATACAGTACTGTACTGTATACTGTATGCTGGTAGTACCATATACTGAAACATTCTACTCATTGTCGGTAAACAAGTATGCAAAGTATTACGATCTGTGGATCCACTAGTCCCTCCTACAGTCCCACCCTCTCTTGAACCGTTAATGCAAAGAAAGTATACGAGGTATTACGATCTGTGTGTCTAGCAAGTCAACGAAAAGTGAGACGGTTGTGGAAAGATACTGGATTGGATATCCCTTTTCGAGAAAATTATAGAGTGTACCGTATTAACTTGGATTGTCACACTTATATTATGGAAAAAGTGGCAAATATCTAGTAAAAAAAGAGATCCAGTGCTGCGCTGCTTTCAGTAATTAAGTTTAGCTTCGCTTAACTTAACGAAAGTTGTGCAACAGTAAGCTCACAACAGTATGCGTAGCAGTCTTTATAGGAATGGAGACTGCAATCCTAATAACATTAAGATAAGCTATGCCGTTAGTGTAACCTGCATTGAATGCTAGTTGCACATGGAATCTATAATGAATCTAGTAAATAAATCATCAAGACTATTACGCGTGTGCTTCGTTTACATGAAGCCGAATGGGCAGATACTATAATAAGCATTATTGCATCTACAGTAGTGCTTATTGTTAATTCTTTTATACTAGTAATGAATTTAATATTCCTAGGAGAGTAGATGCTAGTATCTTTATAGACTCTTTTAAATTTGATTTGATATATGTTAAAGAAGACTGTATTCTACTTAGGATTACGCTATACAGTAGAAAATTGATGAATATCGGTTACAAAATTGATACTGCACATCGTAAGCATCTAGTCATGTACAGTGCACCAAACTTTATTACGTACATATCTGACTTATCCATACTCACGAGTATATATGAAGTTAAATAGAGCTTTAAGGTTTCAAAAACAATATGATAGATACGGTAATTATTTTATATCTTTTGGAGCGAGAGATCCGTGATTTGATTTAAGAAACCTAAGAATAATATACTTTTAAGGTATTTGTGGATAAAGAATAAATAGTGATCGAGTAAACATGCTGTATACTTGTTTGTAGACCTCGTAAAAAATCTAAAATGCGTAGGTAAAATTAATCGAACGGACTTCTCAACTGTGTTCCACACCATCATAACATACTACAATACGATACTCCATTGCGTATTAATCGCTAAGTATAGAACTGCACATTCCTACGTTCTCATTAAAACATAGTAACTTATGTTACGAACGTAACATAAGTAACATAAGGAAATATCATTTCTAGATTGTTTAATTTATCTATGCTGTCATATACAGTAGTACATTAGGGTATTACCAATTTAACTATAGTAAACGTTTCATTTTCTATGCATTCAACGTTTACATGGTATGCTATCACGATTAGGAGCTTACCATCAAAGCATCATGCAAGTTTCAGCTATAAACTACAGTATATTGTTCAGTTATAGCCGATCATGTATAGGAACAGCTTTACCTATGATAATTACTGAATTTGTTATGGTTTACCTCGTTTTTTGAGCTCAGCGACTTATTCAAATTTTAAAATTAGTGCTGTAGCAGTCTATGGATTTTAGGAAATACATGACTTTTCAACAGTGACAAGACACGAGTGCAGTCCTTTTCAAGATTACCATTATCTTATAGTTTACAATCGTAAGGTAAACATTAAATTTCTAATACTGAGAAAAAATAAACAAGCATAAAACCCTAAGTCGATAGGATATTGCATCTTGCTGAAAGTGAGCAGAATTTTATGCCCCGCAAGGGATGATATCAAGTTAAGTTCTATACATTTTTGTAAAATTGACAGTCGTAGCATCTAGGTATAAAATGTTTCTCCTTTACATAAAAGCCAGGAACAATCCGCTCTATTATCGGCCATCTAAAGGAGGAATTTATGCATGAGAAAAAGCGCAGAAAAGTGATAGGCAAATTACAGTGGTAAATACGTCAACAATATCACTTTGACTGATTACAAAATTTCTATCTTAAAAGGTACCATGTACAATAAAGCTACTGAAGTGCTATAAGAGTGATTGCAAATGTACAGTATTTTTTTTAGACTACTGAAAGGATTTATATGGTATAAAACGTTTTAGTGCTGAATATTGGAGTCAATACGGTATAATCCAAATTCTGAAATCTATGTAATTGGATTCTAATGTGAGCATACATGCCTATATCAGAAATTGTACAAGTTGCAATCTTATATAGAAGGCGGCTGCTATCCCTTGCTTCATAACATCATTACATCCATAAACTCGATTATACGGTGAAAGACTTGTTTACATGTATAGCTGATTATAAATTTTCTATTCATTTTATTTGCATCAGTGCTGTCTGTTTATCGATTTAAAAGCAAATAATTACAATTATTCATGGATGCGGAAATAGCCAGTGCACATGTTTACGGTATGCAACCGCTTTTTACTTGCTTTACTTAACGTAGTAATAATTGTTAATTGTTATGTAAAATTGTAACGTTATTTTATACTTATTTCTAGAAATAAATAAATTAACAACGACAAAGGTAAGAGAAATATGATTATCGTTTCACAGAAGTTACAACCAGTAAAAAATCGAATGCTAATCCTGCTTTCACGCTTTGGCCAAACTTTGCCAGCAATAAAATTAAATCATTCTATGACTGGCAATTTATAAGATGATATGGTGATACGGCATATTAAGTGCTGCTTTAAGCGGTTACTTAGAAAGTTTACAATATAATGTGCTATGTGATATTGACCTTGAAATAGATACTTCATCTTGAATGTAGGAACGGTAATATTGAGCATGAACATGTGTTATTGATAGATTCTGGTAAAATAGAGATTATAAGTATCCCCTGAAAAAGTTACTTAGGGCAGCTTCTTTGAGTTCTATTTACAATAGTTTCAATATTGAAGTACAAATAATACAGTTTATAAGATATCTTTGGTCAGTGATTATCCACAGCTTTATAAAGACTATTTATATAGGCCATTTCTGATCGAAATATTATCCTGTTCCGCAATGAAATTACTACTGGAATTTTCAATGTGCAAGTTATGCTAAAGGCTGAATGTGTAGCAGTAAAGTATCAATACTTGTAAATAAAGCCATTAGAAACAATTATTGTTGATGATGTTAGTTGATAGCTGCTACTATAGGAACAAATTATAGGGCCACTTTCAATGTGAATTTACTTGAAAGTGATTCAGTCATTCAAGCATTCCGAGGTAAAAGCCTTATGATACAGTCTTTCATGCAATCCATTATGAAATTTTTGGTTTTGTATACAGGATGTGTGTAGTTCCAGTTGATATAGTAAAGACATAAGATACCGTCAATTATTGCGAACTAGTTTAGTATATCAATTTGCGACATATTCTAAATGACGCTCATACCGTTAACCGATGCTAAGTTAAATCAGCATCATATCAAACTGCAAAAGTTATTATAACAACGGTATTTGCGTTTACAAATAGCAGATAAATTTCTTTCCCACGCCATCACGAGGATTAAAATTCTATGAGACTTATTGATTAATTTATCAGGCTAAGTATAATATTTTTAGTCAGTGAGCTGATAGTTTTACACTCGAACAGAATATACTTGGAGATGAGCAAGGACTATGAGCACTAATAATATTCACATCGAGCTAATTTGATGCTTTACTAAAAGGTAATGCGATTCATAAATTCCACACTAGGTTATACTCTTACCTTGAATTGGTTTACTTAATTAAGGTGTCACTCATTACTTTAAATTTAAGTTTAATATTTAAAAATTCTTTTATATTAAGCCAACTATTCCTAAAAATGTCCTTTATCAAGACATTTTAAAGAAATATCGCGTTATTGTATACTTCCTGTTGCACTGTAAATATAGAATCCGCAGTAAAGGATTCTTTCTTCTAATATACCGGTATCACTCTAATTAAAGTGCAGCACAAGCTTTTCCAAAGTTATTGTTTATATCTGCTAAGTTTATTATTTTTCTAGTTGACAGAACAACAAACATGTTACAATTGACTTCAGCGAGACACAATAACATTTATCCAGAGTAGCCCCTATCGAAAAACTTTATTAATGAGATTAAGAAGCTCTTTTGGCTAAAATATCCACCTCATGAAATCAAAGAGATTTCTCTTTGTCACCCTGAGTGGCAAACGATTTCATTCCTTATTCCTTCCAATTTCTTATAACAATAAACGATGACTATAAAATAATACAGTTTTTTATGTTATAATAGAACTTTGGCTATGGTAATACTTTATATCTAATCTACTTTTAAATAGTATTAAAAACGTGCAAGTATACAGATAGTGTAATTAAGTTTACTAGAAAAACTTTAAGTTTAAATGCCTACGTAATAGTGACACTTTTCCAGCGAAAAATATAATATACATTCTCGATGGGCAGACACTGTCGTTAACTTTGTGCACCCTTAAACTGCTATAGTTTAAGTATATACTGCCATTTATACAGTAGCTTGGTTAATTTAACAAATGAAGGACAAGCGATGCAACTAATGACCAAAGTATCACAGCATTATAAGAAAAGGTATACGCTCCTGATACTATTGCTGAATCAAAAGGTATTTGGAATCGCTTTGCTGTTGTTGCGTTAGGTAAAAGGGTGCAGTCAATTAATTTCTTCAAGGATAGTTGTGCTTTAGGAGGCAAGCTATATTTGAAAGAATTAAAGTAAATTAGCTTACATGTCAAGCTATATTTGCGATCATTTTATTCACTGTATCTTACATACTAACAGGTTATCTACGGCCTATAGATTAGGAGAATCAGATTGTATAAGTATGTAGGCTATATAAATTGTAACCCATTTTAATCCCATATACCTACTTTACCATAACAAACTAATGGCGTAGTGGAATTCAATTAAAGTACTACAGAAATTTAGTGAATTAGAATACTTCTTACCAATGTAGCGCATCATAACATTGTTGTTGATAGCCAGTGGTTAAGATATACTTTTCATCCGTTGAACAAAACGGTTGTACTCCACAAATAAACTGGGTCATTTTCTGTATACACGATGCTGAAGCATTTTGTTTCTTTAATGATTTCTGGAGGTTTTGCGCTGAATTATCATTCAGTTGATCTTCATGAATTAGCCATTGTGGTACCTTAGCGTTAGCATTCGGTTTTCGACAAACTTTTGTATCTGTTGTCAATGGTTTTACACACTTATTGGAAGCATATGTCCCTGAAGGGATGTTTTTGCAAGACGTTCTGTGGAAGGCATCGTAGATAGATTTGGGACATGTTAAACCAGTTTTAGCACAATCGCGCAAGTTGTAGGTTACAGTTTTATTCGCTGAATTACATACAGGATAAAACGCATTGCAAAGAAAGTTTTTAATATCTGTTTTACACTGTTGATTCACAGGCAATTTTGGATTATTTGTGAGTGCGCTAATTATAATCTTTTCATCCTTTGCTAACTGTCCTGCAAAACGAGCGATAACGGCGGGAATTTTATAAGTATAACCACAATAAACACCTGCGGAACCGATATCTTGGCAAGCATCAAGCGTTCCCAGTGAATAAGCAGTGACCATACGTGATGCTCTTTTGTATCTTTCTTTCAAGGACATTTCCTGTAAAATATAGATAGAATATGTTTTTAAATTAATATTGTAGCTGATTCTCTCTGTTTTTTAGGATATTGAATATAAGATATAATAGAAAGTAATGTTAAAATGAATATAAATAGAAAATTGTTATGATTAATTCAATTGAACTTTAATATGAAACTTTATAAAGATATTAAATGACGAGTAGTCTTGGCATAATAACCAAATTTTGTAGCAAAGTGATCTTTAAAACTCCTGATGATCTAAAAATTACTTTTGATGAGTAATTAATTAGATGTTTAGAAGTTTTTCTGAATGGTCTCAAGTCGATAAACTATACACTACGTATTTTGGTTTGTTTTACTAAGCGTGTTTGCTACCTTGTTTTTGGCGAGAAACTATATGATTGAATTAATACAAACCAAGTAAAGACATAATTGGAGACCTAATTAGCTCTTTTTTTATTATTCTATCCATAAATTACCTCTTTGAAATGACGAAAGTCGGCAGACTCATTACCCAATACTAGACATGTACTAGCGATAGCGGTGAGAAAAAGTACAAATTTGTGAGAAATAGTAGCCATCGAGAATGCTTCTGATCTTGGTAATAATCAAGTCGAAATCGTCGGTTTCTGGTGACCGTTACGTTAATACACGGTTATTAATACGTTATGGCTACAGTACTACCGTGTATCTCCAATTAATACTATCGGCACGTTGATAATTACAATTATTATAATGAATAACTCTAGTACCAGTATCCTTGTTACTGTATTCTTATTATAGGGTATAATGCGTATGTAATCCTACTATCCGAAGTAAAATACTTCAAAACATAACAATATCTCACCGGCGTACAGTACCACTATATCAATACAAAAATTTGGCATCGAATTAATTAATATAATTAGGGTTAAGTACTGTAACTAGAATGATATCATTTTTTAACCTTACCTCCAGTCTAATATAGCTAGCCAGATATATCTATAGTAATATACCATACTATGCATACTTCTTATGCTGTAAGCACTTTGCTTTTCATCAATCACATATTTCCAGCACTCTAGATGATCGTGCATTACTCGTGACTTTTATTTCACAATAGCACTAATATTCAAATGATGCTGAGAACAATTGTTTTACAATATTTGACATATGTCAAACAAATTCACGTGATGATCATGAATTTACTTCAAATGTTACCATAATAATGTGCTAATTACCGCTAAAAATGATCCAGTAGTATTCTGGTAGGGATGAGCTGAGATAGCCTACAAAATGACCGATTCTCCATATGGTTATGTTCGTATACATTACATTTGGAAGTTAAGGGTATCTTTGTCGTCCTAATATCGATATGAGTTTACCAAGAACTTGAGAGAGGGAGCAATGAATTATTATTAAATGCTCCACTAATGAACATGCGCTGATGTTTCGAAATCCCTTGGCTATTATTATGCTGTAATACAGCCTAGGCTGCAATCATAAAAAGCTGAAATGAAATCGAGCTTATTCTTGAACTGACGATAGGATAATTATAATTGAAGGGTTTTCACTCCAGTAATACTTAGTATCCTTAACTTAGATATTTTTAAAGTATCTTCTAACCACTGCGCCAACAGAGATATTGTAGATACTGCACTTGAGAGTAAAAAAGTGCCTTGAACACGTTCTAGATTTTCGAACGAGAACGTCAATCTTTATATATTTATATATTATATACATATACAACAATCTATCAACAGATATTATCGATTGAACGGTAATCATATGCAATTTAAGACGGAGTAAAGTTTTGTTTTGGTACTAGCCATCAGTAAAAAAGCGTAGATGTACAGTAGATGATGGGTAGAAAAGTTAAGGACCATGACATCGACATTATAATGAAGTTGTAATTCAGTCCCTAAATAAATCGCGCTTGTACTTTAGATGTTTGATTGTACAAGTACCTATTATCACGAAAGAAATGATTGCAGATCCTCTTCAATAACAAGGCTAACTTGTGCTCGTCAATAAGGTTTACTAGATATCGTAGCTCTTATCATATTTTTTTGGATGCCCTCTCAAACCAGTGCAGCTGTAGTGCAGCGCCCAATATAGCTTAGATTACCATCCAAGATTGTACGAGAATAGTTTAAGTTGTACGCTAGGGTATAACATTGTATCAAGTGTTTTTGCGTCTTAATTGGCGAGTTACTGTATGATTGTGTAGCTGAAAAAGAATTCTGTAACAAATTGTATATATAAACCCTGAATTTTGCTGTAATAATTCAGATAGTCAGATAGTCCTTGGTAGAGGTGAGATGAACCTAACTTATGTAATATCGTGAAATTTACAACAAACTGTAGTTCTTGATTTATTGTTGAAGATCACTTTATCACAATGGCTCGAATTATGAATTACTGTATATCTTATAAAAATAATGGAGTGTAGGCAAGTTTTCTGCCCTCAAATAAAAATTAACAAAGTTATACTGTGCTTTAACACTTAGTCAACTCCGCCTGTCCAACTGTGTGTTGATAATACATTATAAGATTCCGGCTAAAGTCTGATAACCTTATTAGTAATTTTACACTATTTCCAAATAATTTGAGGTAAGATGCAGCAGAGTGTTTTAGTTATTATATTTGGTAAATAGCAAACTTGACTCACTTGGGGTAAATGATTGTTGATTTTGTTATCTAGCTATACCGTAATGTGATTGCCTAAAAACCTATAATTTGTATTAGATACTTTAAAAAACTAATTGTCATATAGTAGAGGGCTATATACTCGTAGTTGAAATATTTTATTGAATTGCAGATTACTGAAATAATCTAGTGGTAGTGCTTCGCACTTAGTAAAATAATTTTAAGGATAAGCACAAACAAATATAGTAAAGAATTCTATCATTTCATACGTATTTATCAACTATAAGTCTATACTATAAGTCTATGAAAATTTGCTAACAACAGTGTCACAAAACAGCTTTGCAACAAGATAACGCAATATACGATCAATAAGTCAATTCCTTGAACCACGTATCAAGGAACGATATCTGCACTATCACAAACACTTTTGCTCTACTAGCAGATTACACAAAGACTTAAACGCCTCGTATTTTACGTTAAACACTAAGTTGGACAATTCTCCTTTATTTCACGATATACTGCATTTATATACTATTCCTCAATAGTTCATGAGTCATAGTTAATACAATTAACATTAGAATCATTTACTGAATTAGATATTAATTTTAGCTACTGCTCCCTTAATGCAGACAACAGTATTTACGAACATAGACATATAATGACTAATACAGAATAGTCAGATTACGATATGTCCTATCACGGAACATTTCCATGATAATTTACAGTCTATCATAAGTAAATTACAATCACAATGATTCGAACTGTAAGCAGATGATTTGCATTCCCTATTATAACTATTATAATTTCAGTATGTGTATAAGTGTCACTGTCATAAAAAGTCAGTGCTATATTAAAATACAGTATATCCAAATTAGAAGTTAACTAAATAAGGATAGTCTAACAGAATTATCCTAACATAGTTATTTCTACTGTAATACAGTATTTAACACTGTAACAAACAGTTACATTGATGTGCATAGTTTTAAGAATATTATCTGTCTGCTACCGTACTATATTATAATCATTAGCATTATGAGTTAGCTAACAGATGATACAAAAATAGTACAGTATTACAGAAATCTGAGAAAGAGGTATGTTACAAGGACCCAGATAGTTGACAGCCTGTAACATAATTGACTTGTTCCTGATATTAAGGCAGCATCATTAGGAACACGGATTGGAGTTGATGTATTTTCATGTGGAAGAAGACTGCAATCGAAGAATTTGTCCAATGCTAATTTGGCTTTCACAGGCAAACTAATGAAATTTTCAAAAGAAAGTAAACCATCATCATTAGAGTAAGTTGCTCATGTTAATTCCATAATTGAATATTAGCAGCACGCTAGTTGTTGGCATGGAGACTACATGGCATTTATTTAACGGTACTGTTAAATTTTAAGAAATGCTCTATTTAAAATAATCTATTTAAAGTACGAGAAGTGTATTGATCTCATTAACTATTTCATAGAGCGATAGAACTTACCATTTCAATGCGTTCATGCATGTCCTTTGAGTAGCAGTGGTCAATAGTTGTGTTTTGTCTGGTGAGCAAAATAGTTGAGATCCGCATACAAATTGTTGCATCCTTTTTGTGCAACTGGTGGAGGCGTTATAAAATTTAAGTGCCGAGGTAATGCCTTGAGCAGAACGATCATTAAGTCTATCTTCATGTTTTAACCATTGAGGAACTAAGAGCTTAGAGGGTGGTTTAGGACATATCGTAGTACCTTCAGTCGACGGCTTAACACATACATCAGTTCTGAATGAACCATTAGGAACAACTTTGCAAAGATTTAAAGCATGGGCTCGATCATAGACTTTTTTAGGACAAGATAATCCGTACGTAGTACAGTTTGGAAGATTGTAGGATATCAACTCAGAAGCCGCGTTACAGGAAGGAAAAAATAATCGGCAATAGAAATTTTTAATGTCTGCCCTACATGAAGTCTTTATTTGTGATGCTGGTGCCAGGTTAAGTGCAGTATTAGTGAATGTTTGTACATCATTGGCTAATAGGTTAGAAAATTTCGCTATCATTCCTGGGGTTTTATAATTTATACCGCATATTGACTTAGCACTTGCCAGAACATCACCACAGAAATTTAGTGGACCTAATGAAAAGGCATTCACCATAGCGGCTCTTTTACTACGACGATGCGCACGATTTTCAGACTAGCAAACACAAAATGTTAAATTAGATCAAAACATTTATGATTGTATCTATGTTAGCACTAATTATTATTTGTGCAACAGATAATTAAATAAATATGAGTCTAGATATTAATAATCAAGAAATGAACTTGTTAACATTAAGGTAACTTTTTAATATTGTTACTTTTGATTAGTAATTTTAGTATAGTGTTTCCGAAATTAGTGTTAAATCTTCGATGTCGGTATGAAAATCCGATAGTTGTTAAGACAGCTATCAGAAATTTTCTCACATCAGTATTTCCTTAGCTCTCATAATGGATTTATAAGGTGCGATATTAATAGTATGTTCCAGGCTTAGGGCATATTTCCTGAGCTATTACACAGGTATATGCGGCATTAAAGGTTGGTAACTAACAGTGAGACTTGATAGATTTTTTGTCAGGATTATGTATAATAATTTATGATGAACTGAGTTCAATTGCATGGATCACTACTCCATCAGAGCTTAGTTTTATGAAACGAACTTGTCTAAAAAGGAACAATTAAAATACATGCTATTTTTGTAGCTAGATTCTGTCTTAATTCCAAACTTTAAAATGTAAGTTTTATCAAATGGCATGCTAGCTTTGTGTACGAATAGATTCACTTCCTACTGATTTGAACTAATAAGATTATTACATTCTAATTTAACCGCATGTTTAACTGTAATTTAGTTGATATAAATCAGCGAACATGTACTAAATTGATACCTTAATCCATCGATTAGGTAGGAGATAACACAATCAGTTTCATAATTAGAAAAGGAGGTACGATGGTTAATGAACATGAACTCATTATGTTATGTTTAGGAGCAAATACAGATAACCAGCGAATTATGTGGCTAATTACTTGATCACCAAACAATTAAACACTAAAATTTGACAAGTGTTTGGATTTAATAAATTGGAATACGTGTTGAATATATCTACTGAAACTAAGCAGATAGATCGTAGTAATCTATAAGTAAATGATTATTCTACCTGAAAAATATTAGATTTTAAAAATAAAATTGATCAAGTATATTTATTCTTCTTACTCTCAGGATTTCCAAAATATTATGGACTTCATTGCTAGCTAAAATTGCGGGAAGAAATATTCCCAAAATCAGAATAATATCACGAAGTCCCGCCATATGAAGTTCAGTTCCGTAGGTCTTCCACGCTAGTTTGATGATTCGTAAATGATAGGATTCAGGCAATTAGGAGCAATATAAGACATAGTGACTTAATGCAATTAGATTGCATGTGTTTCATCATTCTGATTGGAATGCGATTCATCATGTGACTATTTTTATTATCTTTCTTGTAAAATTAAAAGAATAGATGTTATTTAGTATTACATTATCTTCTCTAGCTTCTCTTTATGATTAAATTATATTTAATGCAAAGAACATAAAGAACACAAAGCAATAAGAAAGGAAGAACTTAAATAAATACACTTACAGCGATCGGTTATTTATTTCAACGTATTGTATTGTTTCTTTAATAAACCAAAATCCTATAATGAAAAGCCGTCTAACAACAATCAGTGCGCCCTATCTAATTACGAAAAATGCATGCCATAATTTCACGTTTGCTTTTCTGCCTAGAGTTCCGTTCAAAGTGAATTGGGTAGATTTTGTATTCATACAGTACGCTTTACTAGTTGAATTCAAAGTAATACAATTGCTATTGTAGGTGACAATAGTTCTATTTCGAGCTTGCAATAGACATGATAAATTGTATTTAATTCTTGATGTAATTGGCCGGTAAGAGTCTTAAAATAAGTTGCATAATGTAAGAAAATCTATTTACATATTTACTAGGTTGATGAACACTAAATTAAGAGAAAGAGATAGCAATATCAACATATTTACCTATAGACATTTTCTATATCACTATAGTTTCTCTTAAAATAAAGATAATTTTTGTTAACAACTTTAGTTCAAAACTTGACTTTGCGTCTCAAGTTAGCTTGTGCTTTTCTTATTCCAACTACTGAGCTGTGACAGACAACGATATGGAATGCAAATGTACTTAAAATGTTGCAGGTCCAATAACTACGATATGTCTGATTAATTTAAGATATTTCAATGTTGCTTGCTACCGTCTTTCTTTAGCTTGAATCAATTATCACTTAGAACTGATTCAATTAAGAGCAATTACTTACTATAGTGTTCATCAAATAACACATAATACATCTAACCTTATGTCATTATGAACTTTCCAACAACTAAAAATAGATACCTATCTAAAATGATGTCATGCCTGTTACTTTTCATGAGGTGTACGTCTTCATGGAATTATTTCACGAGTTGTTTTTACAGTTGCATTTCTAAAGGCGATCTATATTTACTGTAATAATATATTTTGCTAGTTGAAATTGCATGTTTAATGCACTTATTATTATTTGATACTTTTATTACAAAACATTTACAGTATATTGTAGCTAATTCAGTTCAAACTTTTTATAATGTAGTACTTAAATATTGAAATTTGTGAATTTGACAATATGACGTGTTCTGATTCTCATACATGGCAAATAATGTTTAGAAACTCTACACTATTAATAAAGATAGCATAATGTAATAGCTTGTAAGCGTAATTTTAATTGCTAACAGTAGCCCTGAAAATATAATTTCAAATAGATTTTGCTAAAAAAACTCCAAATACCACTAATAAACTACTTTGTAAGTATCATGGTGATTAATGCTAATGCTGTATTCCTTAAATATCGAGATAACAAGGGTCTTGACTAATTTTCATTGCAATTTTTATTAATAACAGTGTAAATGTATTAGTCGTATCGAAAATTTTCAATTCTTACAGCGCTTAACGATAAATCGTTCATTTCAACAGAAATTCATACAATCTTCGCAGTATACGAAGATTATACACAGGAATAAAATCAAGAATCATAGAAAGAAATCCAGAGTATACTTGACTCGATAAGAAATTCAGTTTAATAATATCAACTCTTATTACGAATTTGAACACTACCTCAGCGAGAGTAGACTCCTTTTATTTTCTGACAGAATTTCTATTTCGAGTATTAATACTGTACCCTACTATAAAATTGGTCTAAGCCAGGCAAAAAAGGACCATTTTTGTATGAGTTCGTCAATTTGAGTAGTGCTCTCAATTTATATTGTCTCTTCCTCCTCGTAAGTTTACGCAAGATTAAAATATTGAAATTATGCTGTACTATATAGCACGCAAAAAGGCTTTACAATTTGATAATGAAATAGTGATATATAATTCATATTAATTAAAATACCCAGCAAGCTATCGTGTAGCGGTCATAACAGCCTTAGTAGACAATCACTAGAAAGCATTGCAGCATGGTAATATAGCAACTTCTAGATCAAATTATATAAAAGGAAGAGAAATGGCTTAGTTATTGAAAAATGCAGATTGGCACATTATATTCAAAGTACTATTAATTTCTTGGCGATTTCTATAGAGTAACGAAATCTTATATTATAAACGGAAATGCGAAATTACTTACAGGTGTTTACACACTTAGCTAGCCACCTCATATTTACAATATGCGAATGTAACTCGACAAAAAAATTAGCTCTTTCGCTAACTTTGTTGCAATTAGTTTTATCGTGACATATTATATTTTAAAAGGAGCAATTTGTGAAGTAATCACTGTATATAACTGATATGAATGTTTATAAACTGTATCGCATAGCATTACTACCCAATATTGCGTGATGCAATGGTTTACCAGACGATATAACATTAACAATTAGATTTTTAGTCCTTTTACTGCCTTTTAATTAAAGTACCAGTAATATCCAGAATTAATTCATGAAATATAATCAAGTATGCAAAGTAATTAATTGCTTTTAGGCACAAATAGGAGAATGACTATAACTGCATTTAAACGTAAAAATTAAAATAAGATCGCTGCTTAAAAAGTTTAGAAAAAGAAATGAGGTGGTTGCTTCTGTAAATCTTTTAGAAATAAACTCTTTATTCTACATCTAGGTGCTGAGCTTTATTTAAATCTGGATCAAGCTACAGTTGAATGGTTGAGGCATTGAATGCTCTCATATCTTGTACGTAATTGAAATTTTTGAAATAATTATCTACGTCGCGATATAGTATTACCTATTAATTTAAACGGCAGTGATAGTATTACTATTTGCATCATCTAAACGTCTGTACTTAAATGGATTAAAGGAAAAAAGCTTTGAATGATTGTTAGATGTATTTTCCCATGAATACGCTGTAGTATTGCTGCTATTTTTACTTGTGTATTTCTGTCTGACTACTTCCAGTTTAAATGCACGTTCGACTGTTTTATCTTTATCTTTCTTCTTTTTTCGTTCTGATTCTTGTTTTTGACGAATTTCTCTCAGTTGACGATCAACGTGGCGCTTGGATCGATATCTACAACACATACAACAAAGTAAAGAGGTTCCAGCTATCGCTATAACACCAGCTGTTACAGGTATGACGATAGGTAAGACATTTCCTGTGATGATGCATTGATCAGTATGCCAGGCATCATTACCACAATCCCCCCGAAATGGTTGGCTTTGGCCTGATGGCAAATTACGACATGTATTATCATAATTGCACCAATAACATTGGCTACTACGATGAATACATTGATCGCAAGAACTTCGAGCAATATTACTTGTACATGGGTTGTTAGGTCGAGTTGGTCCTTGTGTAGCCGGTGGATTGACCAAATGAACATTAATTGTGATGTTGTTGGAGTTTGGGCGATTCACTTTCCTGATTTGATTCTGCCTTCTACGATGAGGATTAGAAGTGACCGTTATATTGCTTTGGCTGTTGATAGAGACAAACTGGATAGCTAGCACTATTATTAATATTAGAAAGGAACTAAATTTTGAGTTGGACTCAGCCATTAGCATAACCGATTTTCTCTATTATAATAGTAACCAATTTAATGTCGAAGAAGGAGTTAAAGTTATCGAATATTATTTTCTAACTTAATCGCAAACGTGAGATCAGATGTAGAGAATTATGAGTTGTATGTATTATTGTGACTAAAACACAGATGATGAAATTTTCGGCTTGATATCCAGTGCAATATTATTACCGTACTGCTTACCTAAGATAGTGAATGATGTAATTTAAAAGTAGCCAATAGGTTAGAGTATTTACATTTGAAAACATATGGTTAGTTAATGACATCTTTATCTCGGGTATTAAAGAATATTATAGGACTGCGATATTATCACCACTTTTTAAGTTCAATAATAGATATGTTATGATATAATGGGTTAGTGTTATCTAAGCTGTAAATTCGATAACATGCATTCCGTATGCAGTAGACAATATGGGCATTAATTGAAAGGTAGTTTATTATTGAATAAAACATGAATAATCTCAATAATGAATTTATCTTTGCTAGAAAGAATGTTTGACAATTTAGCTTATAATATCATAATGAAATTAATGAAAGTATTGTTACAGCAGTTATGATATAGGTTATTGTTATGAAATAAAATAATTGTGTAGGTTAATCGAATATAATATTCTTAGCGAATTTATCAAAATAATACTATATAATAGATTATAAATAATACATCGAGCTAAGCATTCCGAAGTGTTCTTACTTTTATTACTGCTCTATCATGAGCAAAATTATATATTGGAATTATGAGACGAATTTAGATAATTTATGAGCCATTAGCTCACTAATTATTGTAAATAAGAAAATGATATAATTTATTTCAAAACTAAGGTTTTTTTATATGGTTAAATGTCTTCTTACTTTCGGATGAAAATGTATAAAACCTTTTTATTAACGTATCAGATTAAGTATAGAATCAGTAATTTATCCAATACATCGATAAATATAGCTATAATTCCTCATAAATAGATTAAGATTCAGGTACTTAATAGTAATTGATAATACCTACGACTTCTAGTTAATTTTTTTCGTCAATGGCATATCGATCCATATTCGTTCTCGGATGCAAATGATCTATAAGTTAAAGATATTCCTATTAAGTATTGCCTATCACATAATTTGCTATCCTTTAGGCAATCGGTGTCTGTTACAGTGTTATATACTGTATTACAGTAGAAATATCAATGTTAGGATAATTCTATTAGACTATCCTTATTTAGTTAACTTCTAATTTGGATATACTGTATTTTAATATAGCACTGACTTTTTATGACAGTGACACTTATACACATACTGAAATTAATAGTTATAATAGGGAATGCAAATCATCTGCTTACAGTTCGAATCATTGTGATTGTAATTTACTTATGGTAGACTGTAAATTATCATGGAAATGTTCCGTGATAGGACATATCATAATCTGACTATTCTGTATTAGTCATTATATGTCTATGTTCGTAAATACTGTTGTCTGCATTAAGGGAGCAGTAGCTAAAATTAATATCTAATTCAGTAAATGATTCTAATGTTAATTGTATTAACTATGACTCATGAACTATTGAGGAATAGTATATAAATGCAGTATATCGTGAAATAAAGAGGAATTGTCCAACTTAGTGTTTAACGTAAAATACGAGGCGTTTAAGTCTTTGTGTAGTCTGCTAGTAGAGCAAAAGTGTTTGTGATAGTGCAGATATCGTTCCTTGATACGTGGTTCAAGGAATTGACTTATTGATCGTATATTGCGTTATCTTGTTGCAAAGCTGTTTTGTGACAGTGTCTAATTAGGAACCCACACTATTCGTTTATCTACATTAATTACCGTAGGTGGTGTAGTAAATCGCACATGTATATTGCGATCCACAGTGTCCAGACCAATTCAGTGGAAACGATCAAGTGGTAATCGTCGATGTTCACTTATTCTTGATGCGCAGCTTCCTCTATCATCAAAACGCGACACTACCATATGTTGGAAGAAGCCAAAGAATTACTCCAATTTATTATTTTAAGCTGATTGTAAAATTCATTAAACTATCGGTAACGCTAAGTTAGACACAGGTTGTTTCTACAATTGAAGTGACATCTAATCAGAAATATATAGTACATAATACTCTCACTATTTCCTGGGTGTTTGTGGAGTTGATATATTTTATCCTTTTATTCTAAACATTTTTACTGGATAACTTATGACTGTAGATTAAGCAGATATAGGCCAACTTCTAAGTGAACAGAGAAAAAAATGAGAATATTTCGTATTTTTTACTTATTTCATAATAGCTAGTTCTACAATTGTTAGCTTTTTCCTGCAGGTATAAATGCATTCATAGATGGCACTGGTTTGAACTGTTATTATGCAGATATTAATTTCTATCGTTGTGAAAAAGTAATAAGTGAACTATGAAATATATTAGTGTAAGTGTGTAATTGTCTTGAGCTAAATCTAATACACATTAAAATAAAAGATAACGCCATTAATTAATATTAAACACCAACCGTATCTACTTCTGTGAGTAGTACCGACTAATACTTAAAGGTATGATAGAAGTCTTTCAAATTATTAACATGTAGCAATGCTTGCTAACAATTACATATCCACAGTTTAACAAATTTATTATGTACATATATCATTAAAGATTCGACGAAGATATCAGTTTTGTATTAGCGGCTTTACTGATTGGCAACAGACATACCAGAAAATACTCATGTAAAACTATATTTATTATATAAAAACTTATGGTATAGCTATGGCATTTAAAGCTAATAATTAAGTTAATTATAACTGTCAGAGCGTAAACAATTCTATTAATACTTTTACCGTCTATAATTGTATAACTGCAAAACTGTATATGTGTCATTCGTATTAACGCTTATATCAAGACCATTATAAAAGTCAAGGTTGTTCAAATTTATTTATAACCAAACAAGTTAAACTCATTTGATAATCATCTACAAGAAAATTAAACGCTTAAAAATCGCAAAGACGAGTCTAGTTTATATAGTTTCTATAGTATATTTAGAATATACTGTAGAATATACTTACAGTATACTCTACTCTTAAATATAGTCGTGTTGTACTGCTCTTATATTTAGACATATCTACAGTCTGCTTACTTCACATTCATGTATAGGCTACTGTATTTAGTTACTACAGTACTCGCTGTTTACTACAATCATCAGCTATGTTGTAGCCTGTTATGGTATATGTTGTATCTAATTCTACAATCCTATTCTCGGCATGAGCTCTATCTTTAAAACTATAAATGCCACCGATTTCCACCTCAGAAATCGTTAGTTTCCTGGTTAATCTTCACACGTTACTCACGACAGCTTGCACGCTGATCTACTGTAGCTACCTCACTGTACTTTACTACTTAAAATAAAGTATAACTTTTATACAACTTTTGGTGTACTAATTGTAAATGGCAACTAAACCTAAATCCTTCGAAATATCGAACCCTCCATCACAGTTTCTGATCATTATTAAAGTAATTTAATTAATTGATATCGCAAGTTCTTTACGTTTATTTACTACCCGCTATTTTATACTATACAGAATATTTTAAATTAAACTAGTACAAAGTCACGTCGCTTTGCTGACGGTTTACGATAATGTACCCATTTGTTAATAATTAACAGATAGTATTACCATTTGACATTATATATATCCCAGTAATAGCCAGGCACTACTATATTCACAGCTATGCTTGTAGAATACTACTTTTCAATAATTCATTCACGGATGAAATGCTATGCTATGAAATGCTATATTAAGATTAGTTAATGGTCCAATGCACATTATGATAACTAAGATACGGTGATGAACATACCAAGTTAAGATTAGCAGGTACTGTAAGATATCTACAGTGCGGTACAATGTCCTTAGTACAGTGGTCAATTCTATACCAATCATTATAATGTGTCTAAGGATCACTTGCATATGCAAGCAAAGCTTGCTCTGTCGATAACAACCGTTATAAGAAAATGTAACAGTCATAATGGCTGTGTAGAAAACTCTATAAAGATTCTATGTTTATTCAATTTTCATCAGAGAATTACATCAAATCAAAATTTAAAGGCCCATTGGATACCCATAGCGATATAACGAATACTATTTTAATAATCAGTACTCTGCAGAAATTACTACCTTAGAGCTATTCGTTTTACATGAAGAAATCTTGAGGTAAAAAGTACTGTAAGAATCTTATACTGACCTATCGAAATGAACCCATAGTCACAGTCATCTAACAGTAGTATAAATACCCCTGCGCTGCTCGTTTAAAATGGTGGATTGGATTTATTACCACAATGCACTATTTTATTAGATCATAAATATTATTAAAATTTCAGGAATCCTTTTAATTTCCAGTACACACTGTTTGTTTGTCTAAACGACTGACAAATGGAATCGGGATTATGACAATCTGGTAGAATATATCGCAGCTTTTTATAGCGGACAACTGATCTACGATAAAAATGGGATTTGGCAGATGTAACACTATGATCTTATATAGAAGATGCCTAGTATAGTAATATCCTAATATACGAATACTTATCATATACCGTTTAAGTACTGTATTGTATTACATTCATAATGTACGACATCATGACCACATATAGACGACATGCTATACATATAAAGACATTATCTCAATCCCATCTAAAACCTATAAATACCCTTGTACGTTAACTCGTTAGTCAGTTCCTACGTTCCTGCTATCTCGAATACGTTATCTATAACAACCATATCATTGTTAGCCTGTAACTTGTATCTCAATAAAATCCTTTATACCTTCTATCATCGTCTACCTTAAAATACTTTACGCTACTTAAAGAAGATACTATTACAGCAGATATGTATGGATCTTATAAGAAAGGATGCGGTACCCAATGGCAGTAAATACTATCTATTTTAGCAAAGTCAAGCTTTGAAGCCTAAACGTCTAATGTATCTCCCACTTTCATTGCAAATATTAATATATACGTGCAACA